ATCTGTTTTTCCAAGAAGTTAAAGGCTGTGTGTTCAGATTGCGGATAAAAGGGAGATGCTGGATCTGTTTTGGATCCCGGAAGCAAGTTTAGAGCCATCAAATGCATTAATGCTGATAATCTGTAGCTACCAACAAAGAGGGTGATACTCATGGGTGTGTATGAGAAGACATTTTACAGACATTTAGCATTTTCAGTGTGCTCTGTATGGTAAAAAGTGTTTGACTAATTTTCCCTTTAAATTTCCTAAACAAATCTATTGTTTTTTTTAGTAGGAGAATTGAGAAATTGAACCAAATAGTTAAGCAATATCTGTTTATCCCTTTTACGTTTTTGGATGCTAACATAACAGTGGAAGAGGAAACTTTTCAAACAGGAAAATCTTTATTTTCCTAAAACTATGGCAATCTCATCCCGCTGGTCAATGTATGGTTTGTATTTTGGCAACTTTCAGGATTCAGTAAACAACAACCCTTTGGATTGAAACTCAGTCTGATAAATCCGCTCTTAAAGGGGATTTGGGATTTTTTTATAATTTGTGTGACAGTGGAAAATAAAGCAAACAAATCCATCTTACATGGTCTTGGACTTTAAAACAGGCTTTTTCTGTATCATCATGTAAAACTAAGTAGCTGAAAAGTGTACATTTAAACATCATGATCAGTATTATATTGAAAATAGGATGCAACATTTAGGGAAGCTGAACAAATGTCTCAAAAAATAAATGCTAAATAAATATGCAAAAAAAACACCATTATCTCTCGTTCTCTGCATAATGATCTGAAATTGTATGGATCTGTTTACATTCCACATTTCACAGAGTGGCAGCCGTGGCTCGGTATGATTTGTGCTGCATAACAGCTCAGGTTTATCACCAGCACAGCAGTGGGAAATCACACATTAGTAATTTAAAACCTCAGCAAGGGCATCAGCTAAGACGCTGCCAAGAAGACGCTCAGAGACACACCTCTGAATGTAAAACAGGTGTGAAGAGGCGAATCAGTGACCTCTGGGGAGAAGTGGAGGGAGGGGGGCTCTGTGTGCTGAGGAGGACGAGTTATTATTCTGGGGTTATATGACCACAACAGACGGCAAACAGTGGGAGAGAGGCCAGTGGTCAGACATGATGACAGCGATCAGGTAAAATGTAATAACTGCAGCGTCCTCAGATACAATGTGCTGTTCTCAGTCCAGACTTGTTATCATTGTGGGATGTAAGTATAGATTATTTTTAATCATTATCTTATGAAGCGATGCTGTTTTAGCAAACATGCACTTTACTCTTCCCTCATGGACATTCACAGATCAAAGAGTATCCGTTTTCACTGCACTCCTGCTGGACTTCCTGTGCTGTTACAAACCCTGATGGACTTATTAGCTCTGAATACTTGTTTGTCCTCAGTCAAACCTCGTGTCAATATGGATCTGTGCATGGCAGCGTCACGTAGGAGCTCCAATCAGTCCCCAAAGGGGAGCACAAAAGTTTTAGCCATGACAACACGAGTCTGGACAAGCCCCTCCCACTGACAGCTGGCTCATTGTGTGCTGGGGCTGTGAGGCGGCCTTGTCCCCCTTTGCGTGGACAGTTCAATAACTAATCTCACTGCAGCCAGCAGCGTGTAGCTTTGAAAATGAGGAGGGCAGGCCCAATGGAAAGTCATCTTCTGCTTACCAGTGTTGGGTAGGTTCACTGGTGGAAATGAAATGTAGCCTAAAATAAGCAAGAAAAAATATAACAATTTCTACACTTTTTTTCTGTTAACTTTTTTTTTTTTAACCAAGATTTAAGATACGTTTTTCTCTTAAATTCTGAATAATACTGACACTTTTCATTCTTAATCCTGTGGTTTCTGGACAATAATTAGCTTCTTACAAAAGTTTATTCATGACATATTTTATATTATCTTAAGATTTTAGACACCAATTTATTATGTCTTTAAATCAGCCGAGACAAAGAATTAGAGAAATGGCATTCAATCACCATCATAATTTCTGTCATTAATCTGTCACCTCTCAGAAAGCTAATTCTGACTCAACTCAGAGCAGAGGGTGCATTTTACCAAAGCTAATGTAATTATCTTAGGAAAGGCACTAAATCCACATAATTCAGTTAATTTGGTGTGGATAAAACTTTCCAGTCTGTGGACAGTGGGTATAAAAAATACTTCCTAAGACACAAACAGGTCCCTCAGTTTAGCTTGTTTATGGACTTCAGTAATATGTTAGAGTTACATAGACTGTGGTCGTATGTTTATTTTGTGCAGATTACGTTTGGGTCAAGCCCTTTAAACTCTCTTTTGTTTCTCCATCTGTCCACTACATCGCACGATAAGAAACAGACTAAACTTGAATGAATTATGCATTAAATTCAGATCAAACAGGTCAGTGAAAAACTAATCACTCACAATGTCTCTGATACAATGTGATTATGAAAAAAGAGACTTTCAATAGCAGGTTGACCTGCCAAATGATCCCCCAGCCAACGGTCACCAACAATGACGTCCCACAAAATTCAAACCCACAGGACAAACAGCGGATGGCCCTGATGCTGCTGCACGCGGGGCACGCGAGCTGCCCCCACCCTGCGTGTCACACGCTGGCTGATGAACAGCAGGCTCGTGCTCTTGACGGAGGAGCCTATAGGGCCTCAACAGCCATGTGTACTCGCCACTTTCTGCTTGGACACACACGAACAATTGGACACATCTGAAGCGCTTGGGGCCCAAACCCTGAGGAAGGGCAGATGGTGCCCGGGGTTGAGGACCGCACCCACATTAACATGAGAAAAGAGGGAAACAGAGGCAGGGGGACAGGTACCCACACTCCTATTTTTCAGAGATTAGAGAAAGGGGGTGACTTATTTACCCAGCAGTCTGTGGCATTGATTTGGAGCCCAATTAGAAGCATGCTGTCAACTCAAAACACCAAAGAACCTCAAATGTGAGGATCCTGTCTTTGAACAATTTATAGCTGTCAAAGGAACCTCATAAAAGACCACATATAATAATTTATCTTTGCTACAAAAATACCAGATGCATACGTGATTAAATGTCCAAGGCTTACCACAAAGTGTCAGTTTCTTTTTTGTTAATCAAAATTCCCATAACTGTTGAGTAACTTAAGGTTGGTTTTTGTTTTGTCTTTTTTTATCAGATATACCAGAAAGCCTAAATCTCAGATATAATAGGTATACTTGGTAAAACAAATTCTGCAGGTGGCCATGGCAACTAGAATCATAGGGAGTAAAAGCAGTAGTTAATGCTGCTGGAGCGCTTATCAATTACAGTGCAGTAATCATCATTGTGTTTAAAAAACAACTTTATTATGAGATTAAAGCTTTATACTAATTTAGTGTCATCAGTAGTCTCTCGGATAAACTGGAGAAAGATGGTAAACCCAAAACTGTGCATGAGGCATCTATATAAGGTGTATATAAGTCTTTCCACTAGAGGGATGTTTTACCCACAAGCATAAACCCTCTTGTTGCTTCAGCTGTGTGCTGCAGTGCAGGAGCCCCTCTCTGAGTGGAACGAGGTCGCTCTATTGTTTTGACTCATTTATCATAACTATGTTGGCTGTACCAGCTGAAATTACCCCCAAATTAGCCCTTAAAGGGCTGTAATGGATTGAATTTATTCCAAAATGTACCCACTTGATAATTACATCTCAACAATAACACCACAGGATTCCATTTTATGATTTGTAACAATGACTGCCATCATAAAACATTATTCACATGTTCACAACAGAAAGAAGGAAATAACGTACTGAACTGTGACTACAGACAGCCTGTCCAGCGTGTTGTAAAGGTGAACTGAGTCTCCCCCTTGTGGAAATGTACAGAGCAAGGAGATATCTATTGTAAGCTAGTAAACTGATAAGTGGTAAGTACTGCAGCACCACCTTCTGCTCAGTATAACTACCTAAAAGTTAAAGAGATGGGTATGAAAAATCAAACAAATCAAGATCTGAGGAGTAATGCTGGGTTTCATGCTGGGATGGGACCACTCTCCTGGAAGGGATGCTAGATTGTGACTGTTTTCTGATTTAGCCAAAGATCAGTTATCTGTTTTGGAAAATGACCCAATGTCACATATGTATGTATGTGTAGTGCTAAATGTTTGTTAAAAGTATGAAATTGCTTAAATTAGGATCTCGGTATAAAATAGTTGTTGGTACTTTTAAAATGATAATGCAAGAGTTTTTGACTTACACAATCCCATGGTGATGAAGACTATGGTCAGTTAGTAGGCATTTGACACAAGTGCAACGATTGCCAGGAATGAATGACCAACAAAAACTGTTTAACAGCCTGTGTAATGTCTGTAATGTCCTTGATGCAGGTTTTCCTCTTCAAGAGGAACAATACTGCCCCATACATAATGGAAATCCACATCTTAATTACATGGAAATGTTGCCTGAACTGTATTTCACAGTACATGTGATGAAACCCACAAACGTTTCAGAATATTTACATACTAATAAGATTTAAAAAAACTTCTAAACTGATTTATGGGGTGTTACTCATGTGTTATGGGTTGTTTTTTTTTCTAAAAATGCACATCAGGTAAATAAAAAGTAAATTTCTCACATAGGGCCTACTTGTATTTACATCCTCAATAAACAAGCCTGTATAGCCACGTTTTTATAATTTACTCTTTATAAAATAGGGTGCTTAATAAGCTTTAAGACAACTTGAAGACGTTTAATGGTCGTAAGCAGATGTATGGAGAAACTGTAAAAAAAATATTAACCAGAAGAGTAAAGTAAAATGGAGATAGTGGGTCATGTGATTAGCTGACTGAGTCCTATTACAACAATAATAATGGTGATTCCTGCCTATTTCATTCATGTAGCATGACGGGGGGGAAAAACAACGACTGATTTGTATGTACTTATGAACTCAAATTTACCGTGGAGTTACGAGTCGGAGTCTAGGAAGAGTTTTCACCACCTGGCGGGCTCTAGTGAGAGATCTCCGCCCCAGTCGTACTGGGCGACAGCTCGAAGCCCGGATGCGCCGCCATGCCGACTCTATCAGCGAATGGAATAATTTATTCACCAACCTGGCAGACACTAATCGACTAGAGTTGACTTAAGAAGTCGACTAGGCGGTCTGGGGGCCATAGAAGCCTTTATAGCGTGCAGACCTGCACGGAATAACCGCGCCGTGCGCGTCCGTGCTCCTTACCAGGGTTGTGTTGATGTGTAAAGACACTTGTGTGCTAGCTACGCTAACGTTAGCTCGAGCGGAGGGAGTGCGGGGTAGTGACAGTCCGGCCGGAGGCGGGGAGTACTCCACTGCGAGGTGAGACTGTTATTTTGATAGTGACTGCACTGTGTTGACTACACGCGGGGTAGGTGACCATCTGGGAGGTAGTATCACTTTCATAAACGCGACTGGCGGTTTTAGTTGGAGTCAGACGGCAGGATATCGCCACGGCTACTCGGCTGTTTGTCTACTATCGCTGTTTGGCCCGAGTGCAGCCGAACGTTGACTCGACGTTTCGGTGCTCTGGCCCGCGATGTGGAAGCTAGGTGCTAGCATGCTAACAAGATAACTGGCCAACACTGATTCCCAAACTTTTCCGGTCAGTAACCCGCGAGTGGACTGGCCTAAGGTGTAAGGCTACGAGTTTGACCGCGGTTTAGTCTTGCAGAATAGTTGCCTTTGAAAATAGTTCGTTCGCTTTAGATAAAATACTATTTTGGGAAAAGACAGTGGGAAGTAAGTGTTTGTTTTATGCACTCTCTGCAGCAAAGACAAAGTTTTTCACTGAGAAGAAAACTATCTTCTTTTCTTTTGCAAATGTCGGTAGAGTCCTGGGAGGTGAAGGTGTCTTGACGCAATCCTGGGCAACCCAGTCTTAATGTCGGTCAACTTTTGCAACTTATTGACTAAACGGACATTGGCGTGCATCGTTGCCGATATTGAATCAGATCGTGCTGAAATATAGCCTGTAACCGGGAACAGATAACACCATTGTTGCAGTCGGTATCTTTGTCACAAATATGTTTAATCGCCTTCAAAAACCAATATTCCAATTCTGCTTTTAATTAAACATTTTTACAAGCTTCTTTCACAAAAACTAAATAGTAATCCGATATTTTAGCTGCTACCTATCTTTGTTAATATTATTGCACTCCTAATTGAATGTATACTGATGACAAAAAAAGTATTTAGAATGACTGTGCACCATGTTCAAATGCTTCAGTAGAAGTCGTGTTGTGCTTTCTCACGTATCAACTGTATTCTTTTTGTTTCAGAACCATAAAAAAATCCATGTCTTTGTGAGCTCAGAAAACTAAAGAAGATGTCTGTTGATGAGGAAACTGCAAAAACTGGCTGCCTACAGCCCAGCTCGACATCACCCCTGCATCTCTCCGACTGTACCGGAGGTTACAGCGGTGTGTCTGTGATGATGGAGGGAGAGGCAGCCACCCCTGACTGTGCAGCGGCTTGTCCCGTCCTGGGCACCGCGGCCTCCCCAAAACACACCAGCACGGACAGTGCCGGACAGAGAGCCAGAGGGAACGACAACACCCTTAACCGAAAGAACAGCTTCCATCATTCCAAACCCCAACAGCAAACCAAAGTAACAAAGCGGCGCTACACAGCAAATTCGAGTTTCAAACATCCGACAGCTGGCAAGAGGAGACGAAGGGCCAACTCTGAGAGTGACTCCGTCCTGCCAACCAACTTCCTCTTGGGTGGCAATATTTTTGACCCTCTGAATCTTAACAGCCTGCTGGACGAGGAAGTCAACCGGGCGCTCAATGCAGAGACGCCCAAATCTTCCCCCCTGCCAGCGAAGAGTCGAGACCCTGTTGAGATTCTCATCCCCAGGGACATCACAGATCCACTGAACCTGAACAGCGGGATAGCAGACAGCAGCTTTTTGGTGTCTCCCTTCAAGAGTGGTGGAAGGAGAAGACACCGCAACAGACACCATGGAGGGGGGGGCACTGGAGGAGGAGGAGGTGGTGCTGGTGGTGGGAGCGGGGTTTCATCAACACAAACGAACATCTCAGAATCGGGTAAAAGCGAGGTTAAAAGTAGCAGCTCGGCACAGCTTCCAGGTATGCCAGGTTCCTGCTCTGCACTCGATTCTTCCAAAGAGTCCGACAGTTTTTCCAGCGTCCCAGGAGATTCGCATGAGCACACAGCTGAAAGCTCAGCCAGCTGTAAGGAGGAGATGACATCTGTATCCGTAGAGGATGCTGCTTCTCTCCTGTCAGGAGGACCACACCAGCACACAAGCAGACGCAAGCGAAGGCGAAACTCGGGCAGAATGGAAGCCCCTGTCATTCACTCTACTCCCATTAATAAATCAGCACCTGGAGACAAGAGCTGCGGTACAGGGGCCCCACGAAATTCCTTCCACACACCAAGAAGTGGTCCCAAAACGGGCCCTGGATTTCGCCAGCACCAGCACCCCCACCCCCAAAATCAGTCAAGAGAACACCAGAAGAAGTTCCAGTATGGCAACTACAACAAATATTACGGCTATCGTAACCCAGGCTGTAGTGAAGACCCTCGTATACGAGTGCTGCGCCAGGAGTGGTTTGAAGGGAAAGATGTACTGGACTTGGGCTGTAACTCAGGCCACCTAACACTCTATATTGCCAAAATGTTCAGACCCACACGCATATTGGGCCTTGATATAGACGGTGGTCTGATCCATGCAGCGCGTAAGAACATCAGGCATTATCTGTCTGAGCTGCAGACCCAAGAGGCCAGGCGAGCTGTTCAGGAGAAAAAGCCCCCGAAACAGGAGGGGAAGAGCGGAAATGAGAGTCACACAGGAACAGAAAAGAAGCACAATGAAGCCAAGAGCAGGGATGAAAACGGGAACGCATGGAAAGGACAAAGTGGCCCTGCGGAGGCTGTAAATGACGGCGACTCCAGTCACACAGACGGGATGGGCACCCAGGGGCAGAGCAGCAAAACAGAGGAAATGGAGCAAGAAGACTGTGACAGGCCCCCTGCCGATCCCACCGTTAGCAGCTGTTTTCCAGTCTCCCTGCGAATCTCCAGGGGGCCCATCGCTGCACCCCCACTTACAGAATCACCCAACGCTCCGCCAGGGGAGTTCCCTTCCAATGTGTCTTTCGTCAAGGTAAGAAGGCACTCAATGTTTTAGTACATAACAGGGTGTTTAGCATCACTCCAGTCTTGGATATCAAACAATATACTTAAATTGGGCCATGTCTATAACAGATCTCCATTTTAGACCTCAATACTTGGCAAATATTTTCAAGTTTTCTTTTATAAATGTTTTAATAATATGCTTCAGTGTCTTAAGATGCTTGGATCCTCTGTTGGATGTAATGATTGAAATATTTTTTTGCGTTTAAATTACGTAGAGCAGCGTCTCTCTCTCTTAAGCAACACACACACACACACACACACACACAGACACACAGTTCCTCCAATGCAAAACGAAGAGGAGCATAAACAAAAGCCCACAGTCTGACTTAAAAAGCATAATGTTCTCCATCTAAATCCCAGCATCTCTGTATTTTAGTATTTTCTGAGTCATTCAGTCAGACATTTTGACCAAGTCCTGTTAAAGTGTAGTGTAATGCAATGATTGGAATACTGTTCTTTCCACTTGGGATTGGACCCGACCATGGGCATGAGGGTCACTAAGGGGCCTCAGAATTAAAAGAACACCGGTCAGTGGATCAGATGTCAAATCAACACCTGAAGCCCCTTTTTGCCAAATAGTGCTTTCAGAATCTATGAATGAAAATAAAGTTAGAGCCCTCAAGCAGAGTTCCACAGACGTGTAGTCTCAGTGTTGGTGGTTGCCAACAAAAGCAGAACTTATGCTGTGATTTACAGGATTAGTCACCTCCTCACCATCTGTTTCTGGCACCAATCTTTAGGGCTCATTAGCTTACTGTGAATATTTATTTTGAATAATCCTCTAAAAACAACCTCTGTGCCTGGAACCATTTGCTTACTTCAACAAAATGACAACACATCTCTTATAACATGTGGATTATAAAGTGCTCTGTAATAAAAACATTCTGTCATAGTTCCAGTGTTATTAGATGGCAGTCATTGTGTAGCTGCTGCATCTGTTGTTGGATGCAGGCAGTGTGATGCTTCTGAATTAAATCAGTCGCTTCGTCCTCCGTTCGGCTATTAGAGATAATGGCTGCATAGCACAGACCTCTTTCTGTAAATCATCCCTCAGTCTGTACAATACAAGCAGAATCTGTGGGTAAAATTACTGAGTGTACGGATGTTACAGAAGCACCAGTCACTCACTTTGCCTTTTTGTCTACAGTTAAACACACAGTCTGCATCACACAACACAAAAACAACATCAGAAGATCTATGGACTTATGAGATTTTTGTCTGAGATAATTGATTTCAGAAGGATTTTTTTGGTGATGTACCAGGCACATTGTAAGAAAGAAAAACATCAAATTAACTGGACACTTAGGCTGTTCACCTCTGAAATCCCACCAGTTAATCTGAAGGCTGTTAGGCATTGCTTCATTTGAATATGGAGTGAGGAACTTAAATCAGAGGACAGGCCACATTTGGACGCATTACAAAGCGACTGATAGTTTCCATTTCTGATTATATGACATCATCATAAGTTTAAATGGCACTGCTAAGATTCTCAGACTCAAGGATATTTTATTTTACTTTTTTTTTTTTTTTTAATAACCTCATGCTCCATGTTTTAAATCAGCTAAGTTGAATATTTAATTAAATAAATTCTACTATTATGGGGAACTTTTATTAATTATATATTATTGATTTGGTATTCATATCTGAATTGAATGATTCAAATGTTCTTACAAAGTAGCAGTAAAAATATTAATGTATTTCAACTTTGTAACACCTGTTTTTAGGTTTGCTGTAAAGCTTTTATTTAGCTCAGATGTAACTTCTGGATCTATTCATGTAGTTTCTCAGTGTGGAGGAGTTATGATTATTTGTCTGTTCCCAAAAATTTGGTTTCTTGCTCTGACTAAGAGTGGTTAGTGATGTGAAATAATGAATGATCTATTTTTAGGTTTACATGAGCATCACACCTCTCTGCTTTGCAATAAACGCCTGGCAAAGTGTTGGATATTTTCATTAATACATGTTCATTTAGCTTTTTAATTTCCACTTTTTTGCCTGCAGCCCAGCTGTGCTAATATTGTTTTCTTTTGAAAGGCTTTGCTTATTACTTTTTCAGTGGCACTGAAGTTGTTTAACAAACGAGTGTGTATTATTTGCTTGTTTAACTCTCAAATTCTTTCCTTTAGGCCAATTATGTACTGGACAACGATCATCTTCTTCTCACTCAGAGGCAAGAGTATGACGTGATACTGTGCCTCAGCGTTACCAAATGGGTTCACCTGAACTGGGGAGACAGTGGTCTGAAGCGACTCTTCAAGAGGGTGTACAGACATCTTCGACCTGGGGGCATGTTCATCTTGGAGCCGCAGCCCTGGGAGTCCTATGTGCGGAGGAAGAAGCTCACTGTAAGAAGTCGAGATGACTGCACTGACAACGATTCTTGTTTGTTTGGCTGAAGGATAACAAATGTTTGGTCTTTCTCTCGTCCAACAGGATAACATTTACAGGAATTATCACAGCATCCGGCTCAAACCGGACCAGTTTTCGTCATATCTCACGAGTGAGCTGGGCTTCACCAGCTTTGAACACCTCGAGGCTCCCAAATGTTCAGTAAGAGGTAAATAACTTGCAGGATTTTTTTTTTCAAAGGTTTTACATATTTCACCAAAGACATTAACCATATTTTATCTCATCCCAGGTTTTCAGAGGCCAATTTACGTTTTTCACAAATGACCTGTCCGGCCTTGAGCACCGTTGAATGTGATTAGCCGGATCTACCATCACTCATTCGAACCGCCCAGCCGCTCTGGACTGCAGGACATCCTTCCTATCAGTTTTTTCAGATGGAAATCTACAGAAGAGGGAAAACATGGGACCAGAGGTGCAGCCACTGATGTAAAGCTGAGATTTAACAAATCCCCTGTGACTACAAACTCTTCAGAAAGTATGGTGTGAACTTAGAGAAGACTTCAGCGTGTAGCTGAAAACATGGAGACAAGCCAGGTTTGACCAGACGATGGAGGACGTGCAAATTTGATTATTTCCTTTCCTCTCCAAGTTTTAATGATGCTCCCGAACAATGCATGGCCACAACCTCTGTTTGAATATCTTTGGCCATTCTTCATTGCCTTCATAACATTGTTTTGTGCAACCACATAACCAGTCTTTACACATATTAGGCTTGTGCGAATGAGCAGATTAATTCAGTCACCATCACTGTTAACAAGCCAGAGTGGTTACACACATCAGGTCTGTGTTACGTCTCCAGAACAGCTGCATAATGCTTAATTACAGAGCCGTTCAACAGGTAGCATACTGAAATATCATTTGAAAAGCCACAATAAAGTACAGGTTAAAATGTTTTCATTCATTGTAAAAGGCTGCAAAGTTGTTTTCTAAGCGAGTTCTACGGGCAGCAAAGAAATCTCACATAATGGTTCAATTTTTGCACTGTGTTTTAAGCCTTAAAACTTTGTTGCAGGCAGCATAAAATGCACATAAGATGGCGATTTAATGATAAAAGGCAACTATCCTTAAGGTCTGTTTAAAAAAAACATCTCCCCTTTTCTGACCCTATTTAATGCTAAATATGGCCGAGATCCGAAATATCTTCAAGAGTGAGCCTTCTGCAAACTTTTGGACGTGTCAACTTTCCCCATCAACTATTTGGAAACAAGAAGTCACATGAAGGGTTTTAACTTTTGACATGTATGCTGCTTCTGGATGGTTGAGGGCATATTTAAAATGTAATGGCTCAGCTCAAGATAAGGCGGAGACCACAAGCTCCATAGTGAGAGCTACATCTGTAGCGTGCCGTTATCTGTCCCTCCAGTTAAGCCATAGTCGCAACCCGGCCTGCTGCCCGCTGTGTTTTGGGAGGTGCTGACAAAGGAAACGACCGAGCAGAAATTTTGGCGCCGCAGCATCTTCAGTGCCGTTTTACTCAGACACAAAATGTTGTTTTGTCACCACCGGATGGGGATGAATACAGACTGCTGCAGTGCCCTTCTAGTCAGACGTCACGTTTGCAAGGCTGAACGATGAAATTGCATTGAAAATTGTCTCAATTTAAAAAGAAAAACAAAAGACATCCATATGGTTTTCTTTTTAACCAGATTTAAATGCGTAGATGCTATTTGTACCGAGCACTGCCAAAATGTTTTATGGGTCTTCTCTTCAAGTTATGCCTACACTCTGTGGCTCTCCGAGGACAGGATGAGCACCTGGTTGCCAGGTTTTGTGATGACGTTGTCACTGATGTGCACTGAGCACCATTCATCTCCTGAGGTGAGTGAGACAGGACATGTTTCCCCTTTTTTTTGTGGCTGATGCGCGGCATTGGCCATACCCGGGTGGATGAGATGTTTCTATTTCGTTACGTGATCAATGTAAATAAGTTAGCAAATTTTATTTTGATATTGTTTTTGAGTTAACTGCTTTTGTAATTTTCATGTTTTTCTTGTTTTCTAATGTTTGCTGCCAATCATTCATTTTTTCTTTTTGTCTTTCTGGTAAAAACGGATTGATGATCCTGCTTTGTAACAAAGGAATGTGTACGTTGTTCTGCTGTTTCTGCTTTGTTCTCTCCTGGGAGACACATGGATTGTTAGATTAGTGCTTTCTTTTGTTTGAATGTTTTTTTTAAATATATATATATAAATCGTCGAATTGAGTGACGGTGTCTGTGCAATCTCATTTCCTTTTCATTTGAAACATTCAATTTCACTAAAATATTAAGGCTTAACTTTTTCCTCCATTACTTTTTATTTTAGCTGAGCCGAAACTGCGTTTTGGCCCATCAGACATGCCATTTTCTGCTAAGCTAAGACAATCGGACTCTCAGGCTTAGATCAACCCACTGCTGTGGCTCAAAGGCATTTTCATTTCTGCTTCTGTCTTGCGTTACATGATCTCAAGCTGTCATTTCAGAGAGCCTGTTTGAAGTTAGCTTGTGCTTTTCCACTGATGTGAGCGATGGCACCTTAGTGACTCAGCTTCAGGTGTTCAGGTAAAAACGGAGGAGAGGTCACTTGCTGTCATTGACAGTGCGCTGTAAACTATTTTTACTCCCCGGGAAGTTTTACACAGGTGCTACGGTGGTGTAATTTGCATTAAACTGAGTTATGCGCAATGGTTTAAGGGCAAGGTGGATGATGGTCCTCATTGTGACTTTTTTATTGCCAGTGACAGGTATCACTATTTTAAAAACGATAACAGTTCCACGCACGTTTAGGTTGTAGTCATGCAAAGCATAATTCTATGCACTATTGGCTTTATACTGCTCTATTAGCTGGATTCCGATTAAAGATAAGACTTGTTTTTATGATCTGTGGAAGCTCCAGGAGTCACCATCTTTTTTTCCCGTTACTCTTTTTATTTGCACTCACAGGAATAAAAGGAAATAGTTAATAGGTTATAACAATTCCATTTAGTTTTTCTGGCCTATTGCTGAGATACACGGGTGAGATTTGATCCATTAGTCCTGCTTTATGCACCCAATAAACGTTGACGCTGTGCTAAAATTTCCAGAGAGTTGACATATTCTTGGTTGATTTATGTCTGAATGTCAGAGCTACAACCTGATGATGGATTTTTAACTGCATTACCATTGAAGAAATAGTTTGTTACGAATGCCAAAAAGAACTCTTGAGACTGCACCTTACCAACTAATCTAAACTCCAGAAAGATACTGATTCTCTTAGGTACAACAAGGACAGTAACTCGGGGGGAGTACGGTTTTAGAAGGCAATGAAAACCTCTGTTTTATTTTGAACTTGCACTGATACAAACATGGTAAACTTTTTTTGCGTTCTTTTTTATTTAGATGTCCCTTAAATGTCCTGAAATGGGTTTTCTTTATTAAGGATTTTTCATACGTTTCCCCCTATCAGGGAAAATGAAAATTTACATGCCTCTGAACAACAAAATATATCTGAATGTTTCTCTGTGTTTGCCATTTTAATTGATTAAAACTGATTCTGGCTTTGGTGGCTTGGTATTTGCTCTCGCAGCACCTTTGAAGGGTAATCTATTTCACTTGGTATGTTGGAAGCCTGGTTGTGGCTTCTGCTCTTAAAGGAAAAGAGATAAACAGTGTAGTTTTTGTCTCCTTTATTGGTCAACATGATTGTAAAAGGTAGACCTGCCGTCCAAAGATTGCATCCTGTCATAACCTTTATTGCAGGACTATTTGCCAGAGGGCAGATTTTACAAGCTTAACAACACCTTTGAATCAGAAAAAGATGGTAGCATATGGTGGATAAAACCATTAACATTTTTGGAAACCTGAACTTTAGAAATCAACGAGTGTTCTTCTCTATTAAGGTCTGCTGGTGTGGGCAAAGCAGGAATCACATCTCTGAGGAAGAATTCCAAAACGAGCTGCTCCAGTCGTGTTATCATCAGTCCACAAACAGTCGATCTTGTTTCCAGAGTTCAGAGGAGAGTGGAGACAGGAAGCTGATGCATAAAGTGCTAATATAAACTTTGTCTTGAGAACTCGCAAGGAACCCGAGTGAACCATTTTGCCCTTTTTTGTCTTAAAAAAAGAAAAAAAAATTGTTGGTTCAGTCAGAAGTCTGGAGTTGTGACTTCAATGAAAATTAGACTGTATCAAATCTGTTTTCTTGCGATTCTGTTTTCATTCCAGCAGAATAATCTTAAAACCAACTGCATATAATTGCATTGAAATGGATCTGATTGAACAAAAACGCACACAGCCATGCAGCTGAGAAGTAAAGCATGTCCATCTAGCAAAAAAACTTTCGGTTTTAAGCCGTTGCTGTCAGCTTTGTGACGACAGGCGGGTAAACAGGTTTCGGGGGGTGTAGCTCTTTGTAGTTTAGTCACGCCGCACGGCCCGACTAGTACAAAGATTTGACCCTGAGGACAATGCAGAGCACAATGCATCAGCCCTTGTTTACAAATAGCAACCATGCCTGTAATGCCTGTAGCTGATTGAGGGGTCAGATCCCTGCTCAGTCATACCCAGTTGAATAATTAGATAAATTGTTTGTTGTTCAGACAGATATCGTTTAAGAGGACCCACCTTTTCCTGCCCTCTCATGGTGTTGAATCACAGTGGCTGTTTACGGCTGACGATTAATGTGCTGCCCGAATAAAAATAATCATGATAATGAAAAAAAAAGATGAAAATCCATCGGGAAACACGTTTCACTTTACAGTCAGATGCTCGCAGGGAACGTGACAATACATTTGCTTTGCAGTGGTGACTGGTGTATTGTGACGTTGTCTGTCTGTTCCAGACAGTGTTGTCCTGACAGACAAATGGTGAGATGACATAAACCCAGACAAGGGACATAACACTTCATTCACAAAAGCTCAGCTCCATCACAGCTATTTGGGTCAGTCACTTGACCATTATTGTCTCTCTTCTGTACAGCACTCAGCAAACGCATGCCAAACCCAACTCAGACTGCTTTTGATGCTGTAGAAGTCAAGCCAAGTTGGGCAGTAAATGCTCTTTATAGAGGCTTACGTGTTTGTTTTTTAATTGAAGCTTAATTTGGATTATGTTTGATATGATTAAAGCTGAGGAGGACTACCCACACCAACTAAAAACAACAAACCCAACATCAGTAAGTCTTTTTTATTGCCACTTTATTTAACTTAATTTCAGATTCACACCAGTAAGTTTAAATGTGAGGTCCAGGACTGGAAATGTGTGGTAAAACAGGAGCAGATGACCACTTCAGAAACGCTTATTATCAGATCAAACAAACTCAGAGAGCCAGAGGAAAGGGTTGGGCTGTGGTCAGATCATCCACTGGGATCCCAGGGCCCCAGCATCCAGTACTGAAAGCTCCCACCTTATGTTTGAGATGAGGCAGGCATCATTTGATGACCGAGAAGGTGCTAAGATCGCATAGCACAGCACCTGAAAAGAAGCACAGACCAACCCAGGTTCATCATAAAAACAATTACAGGTAGCTTCTTTAGAGTGTGTTTAGTTTATTTCCTGAGTCATCTATGAAAGTGCAAATGAACAAAGTTTTGAACAATCCTACAAAGCGATCTTGAAAGGTCTACCTGTATCTCCGAGGGCAACCATGATGGCCAATGGTATATTCCTGAGCATAGCAGAACCGTCTGCAGAGTCCTCTATACCCACAGGTCCAGTACTGCATCTCTGGATCCTTTTCTATGGAAAAATTAACAAAAATATATATTTTTAAACTTCAGCTGTGCGACGTCTGATGGCAAATGAGTTAACACAGATCAAATAAAACTGAAACTAGGTGTATATGTCATTCATCTGCTCCTCAGAGCCAGACAGAGTAGTCTGCTGCAATTGTTTTGTTTTTTTGTGAGGTGAAATGTTTTGATCCATAGCTTACCCTGCCCAGCTGCGAACATCAGGAGAAGCACAAGGAGAACCAAGCTCAGACCCTTCATGTTTGAGGACCAATAAGCTTTCAGAGAGTGCTGCTGACAGGCTGATGCTGCATTTATACAGTATTTCAAGCACGGGGGAGGAGTCCGTCGTGCTCTGCCCAAATCACAATAACAGAGTATCGCTGAACCATGGGAGTCTAAGGGCTCGAGGTCAGATCAGGACTAGCAGCTTACTTAACATAGTCAACACCTGCAATCTCTTGAGAATTGGAAATATTTATTTGGGACAATTTACAGTGGAAGTGTTCTGTCATCTGCACTCAGTTGAACTAATTTAACTAAAACACCAACACCATGAAAAAAAAAGGGACTGTACTATTGTACCGTACTTACATACACCCTTAAGACTGGACAGGTGAACACTGACCATAAAGGACACGTAATACACCCAGGAAGTAAAATAAAAAATAAGCCCAGCAAAAGTTAAAATGACTGTTGAAGCTCTGTTTGTTTAGACACAATAAGCAGCAAAATTCCACCTTTTCTACTGTGTTTTCAGCCCAGCCCTCTGTTCATCCAATCCTCTCCCCTAACCTGTATATGGCAGTAGTTCATGTGTTATTGCTGATGCTGTGAAACTACAATCACATCGCACAAAACACACAAACCCCGTGACGCAGGGAAGGATTGTTAACGAAACAATAAAAAGGCATGAACACATAGAGATGTTCTGGTTCAGCTTGCCCCCTAGCGCTTACCTAAAAATGTTTGTGTAACTCGGTATTTTTTCCCCACAGGCCCGTATATTATCTTAACTTCATGAGCCTGTCAGTCTTTTTCTGTCTTTGTTCTGACACCCTCAAACAAAAAAGGGCTCGTGTGTCCCACAGACATGCTACAAGTAATAAAAACAACAATGTAGAAGTCATAGTTTAAAGGTTTAGGAAGAAAAGTCTATGAAGATTTTAAGTGGTAATCTTGCTTTACTTTTTTCCCTCCTACAAAATAATAAATCATCAAAACATAGCAATCTTAACAATGTCTACTTTTAAAATGTCTGAAAACTGTACTCCACTGATTACTTACGTTGATTTAATATAGAATAACTGGATATTAGACAATGTTTCTACAATTATTTCCACAAATGTGTAATTTGTACTTTTGATTCCCACTACTCTAAGAGTAACCGTGCTCCGTCTTCATGCAGGGACTGCAGTGGCAATACCACTTTCTTAGACACGGTGGCGGTAAAGATTTCAAAACTACTTTTTCACCACAGCGAAGAAAACTTGGATATCATACGCATGCGTAGACAGCACCAGCTGCAAACAGCAACAATAGTCTGGAAGGTCTGCGCTATTATTCCAAGATGGCGGACCTCTTAGGCTCAATTTTAAACTCGATGGAAAAGCCTCCCACAGTCGGCGACCAAGAAAGCCGACGAAAGGCACGAGGTACCCAACAGATGGTTTAGCTAAAACATCAGATTATGTTTAAATACGGCTGTTACAATGAACGTTGTTCATGATTTCGATGAAGGTATAGTTGTAAAGGACAGGCGTCGGATCATTTCTAGTGCTGCCATTGGCCAGTGTAACTGTCAATCAAGGTCTGTTGGGTCCGAGTTTGGGATCGCCTGCTTAAAACACGCGGCTTCGCTTGTCTGGGGCCAGTTGCGGACGTGAGTCTGGGCAACAGGCAGTTTGCTGCAACACAACCCTTTAAACAGCCCTCAGTAAACATCCTGCACAGTTTTATTTGCTGCCTTTCTCGTGTGTTAACAGTAAAATTGTCTCCTCTCAGCACCGAAATCGCAACTATCATGCTGTAATTTCTCATTACTTCCTGTTGTTTTAAATTCTGGACATATAACTCACCGCCAATATAACTCACCGCCAATAAATGACTAGTTTTTGAGTTGCAGTAGATGCAATGGACTTTCAATAAATTGAAAACCCTTTATTTGACTTGTACTCACCTTTCTAAAATACATTCAAAACTACAAGCAGCTGTTTCCATTAGACTTCATTATTACTCTATAAAATCCTGTAAACCAAAGCAGGCATGTGGCTCCAGTAAAACACTGGATACCTGGAGCACTTTGTATGTTGTAATCGTAGCTGTAATCCTAAAAATACGTTTATGATTTCAAATGAAAATGATTAATTCCTACTTAAATGTAAAAGGTACACACAACAATAAAGTATTGTCCTGCCTGAAACAGATGATGGCATGTGATGTGAGTCACTATATTTGAGTTTTGTTCCCTGAATGATCTCGAAAGGTGTTTTTTCAGACTATGGGAAATCTGTCTTTATGGCTTCTATGTGGCTCCAATTATTAAAAACGAGTAGGCCTGCAAAAGCCGTAATTCTTAGTGACTGACTACAAAGAAACGTTTGAGTGCTATCAGAAATAAACCCTCTCAAAGAAAACATTTCTCTTCCATGAAGAGCAAGCCGCAAAGCTGAAGAAGATGGAGGAGGACGATAAACGAAAGAAAGCAGAGTTCAGGAAAAAGGTGAGACCAAGGATGACATTCATTTAAATGTAGTGCCAAGCTCCTGTGGCTGTGCTTTAACTCTGTGTATTTATCACTTTTACACTCAGATGGAGAAAGAGGTTTCAGACTTCATCCAAGACAGTTCCCAAAAGAAAAGAAAATACAATCCTATGGGGAAGATTGAAAGGAGCATTTTGTAAGTGGTCATTAGATGAATGAGTTAGACATCTTCCTGGTATAATTGTGAATCGTTTTAATTGTGACTTTCCTCTCTCAAAGGCACGATGTTGCAGAAGTGGCCGGTCTGACCTCTTTCTCTTTTGGTGAAGACGAGGACAGCCGCTACGTTATGCTTTTCAAAAAGGTCTGAACACTTTTAACGAAACGTTAGGGGTCAAAACAAAGCTTTATATTTAGAGTTATCTAATAAATTCCTACTATTAACCGCCTTGTCCTGCGACAGGAGTTTGCTCCGTCAGATGAAGAGCTCGAGGCCTATCGCAAAGGAGAGGAGTGGGATCCCCAGCTGGCAGAACAACGGCGCCGACTAAAAGTAGGACGAGATGCTTGCTCTGGTTTCAGAAAAGGCATATGTACCTAATTCCTGTTTTTGCCGAGACCTGGATGACATCTTTGTTTTAATCACCTGAAACAAAGTGCAAATGGTTGTGAAACTGCGGGGTTCTTGATATTTCAAGATGAGAAACACATTTCACAACTATGCTGCAGGATAGGTGTGATTGAAGAGAAACCCTCAATTTCTTTTTTTTAAATTCGGGCTCACAATTTACCACTTTCCCTCACTGCGGAAGCTCCTCCAGCTCTGCGGAGCTATGCTTCAAATGCTGTGTGCCAACACGAGGGGACACAGCAGGGGCCTGTCGCTGCCTCTTGCTCTCGATGTGATCTGGATAGATCAGCGATATGTGAGGCCTCCTCCTCTTCCTGAAATGAAACCTCATTAAGATCAAGAATTAGTCCGGTTGGTTGTTTTTGAACATTGACCAGGATGACTGAGAATCTACACACACTCGGGAAGGATTGTGTGATCATCCTCCACCCTCCTCTTAAAGGACATGCAGGTCTTTTTCAGTCATGTCCAGCTTACTGTCGCTCCAGGCAGCTGACTCAGCCTGACAGGCTGTTTCTGTTTGGTAACGCTGCCAGAGGATGGCTTGTTTCAGTCACATTTAGAGATCAGTGGACTGCAGCTTGTGACTTCACAGCAGGTTCTCGCCTGTACCGGATCCACACCTTTTACCTTTCTAATTGGTGAACAGCTGCTTTCTTCCTGGCTGGATGTGATTTACACTGAAATGTAACGTGAACCAGCAGTTTGAGTCCTATTTTTCTTTATTTTTTAGATAACTTCTGTTTCTTACGGCAAATACATCAAGAAAAGATTACTTTTGTTCAAAGCCGTAAATATTTTCACAAAGCTCTTAAAATATCAAGTTTACGTGTGGGGTCGGCACCATGTGACCCCTGGCAAATCAGGTTTTCCTCATCTTTAGAATTGACTTGAGGTCGGGGTAATTTCCTAGACGGTCCCTCACTCTCTGGCTGGTCACTGCAGGAACAGGCCGCTCTGGAAGAAGCAGCTTCCACTCAGACAGAGAAGACGCAAGCCTGTCCCAACTCCAACTACAGAGACAAGTACAGCCACCTGATCGGCACGTCGGCTGCTAAGGACGCGGCGCACACCCTGGAGGCCAACAGCGCGTACGGCTGCGGTGAGTGGACCAGCTCTGGGGCGCACGGCCTCAGCTCCACGTGACCGTGTCATGAATGAAAACGCTAACTTTCTCCCCCCACAGTGCCCGTGGCCAACAAAAGGGACACTCGCTCCATAGAGCAAGCCATGAACGAAATCAGAGCGAAGAAACGGCAGAAGCGCGAGGACGACACGGGGGCACGCACCAGCAGCAGCTCCTGAGCCCCCACCGGCTCTCTGCCGTTGTGTGTGTGTGTGTGTGTGTGTGAGCACACCCATCCTATGATGCAATACCCTCTACTTCAAATATTTAAAAGTGTAACTTATAAGGCAGGTCTCAAATCTTGTACATGTGGACAAGACTGTGATTATTACTCCTGTTCAGCATGCCTGGTGCAGGAGCGGGCGTCTGATTGGTGTTCCATTAGCCTGGGACCGTCTGTTCATTCGTAGGAACACACACAGAATTGGACCATTGCAATATGACAAACCTGTTTTTAGATTTCTTTTTTTTTTTAAAGGAGTTTAACTACATAAAGCAACCGGAAACCACTAGACATCATTTTGAATAAGAAAACATTGCCAGTTCGTTACTGTTTTAATTCAGATGTGCATTTTAAGCATGTGTGTTTTATTAATAAAATCTTGATCCTTTGGCTATGCAGGAGAACGTTTTTAAGACCTGATTTAAAGATGCCGTTGCTAAAAAGGGCCCACTGACAGTGTTACAGATATTTTTACATGTTTGTGAGTACAGACGCTTGACCTTTTGTGTATCCTCAGAGAGACCCCATGTTAGAAAACAAATGTCCAATTTGAGTTCCTTTTTGAAACTATGTCATTAAGTCTGTGATTTTTATGTTTACTCTACATCTGCATTGACTTAATTTCGTTTCACTGGCTGTTTTTCTTTTTTGTGCTCAAGGCCACAGAGTGGCTTATAAAGAGAATCATGCTTTTAATATGGGGGCATGATTTCCAGACTCCACGTTCTTCCTTTGTCATTGTCAAGCATTCAGCTGAGCGAGGAGCTCCTCGGCATCTCGATGTGAGTTTTAATATGGCTGCACTGTTTTATCCCTGCCCTGTGGTAATAAACGTTAGTATTAGGCCTCTGTCTGCATGCGTCCCCTCATTTCTGCAGACTGCGAGCAGAGTTGTTAGGCTCTCCTTAGTTTATTCTGTTTAAAGGTACATTGCTATAGACGTGAGACATAAGATTGAGTTATTCTATATCTCAGTTTGAGCAAAACCAATAAAAAAATGTAGCTTGAGCTCCAGCGCAATCAGTTTTCGGCGCGTACAGTTCTGTGTGTTAGTCATACCCAATTGACGATATACCTGTCTGACAGCCAGTTGTTTATAATGAGGATAACTGGGAATAAAATTTCATATGGTTCAATATCACCAAGTTTAACTTTCTTTTGTTGTGTCCAATCACAATGAATTTGTGTTTCCAAGCAGTGCAAAAGAATGTGCCACTCACACTAATCATTTTTCACTACTTGAGTAGTTCTGGGATCTACTAGATTGGATGCTGTTTATTTACTGTTTCAAGGCATTAAAGTCCGATCGCTTCATACTAATAATGAATATTTTACGAATGATTTTACAAACTTTTAAGCACCACTGAAATGAGGCATTCTCATAATGATTGCTTGGTCTTAGTCTATACTTTTTCTGTCTTGGAAAGTTTTTTTTTTTAAACTAAAAACAACTACTAAAGAACTTTAACGGGTGATTATAGTCTCCTCCTGTTGGAGTCATATCTTGATAGTGGACATAAGTCTGGTCACTGTCTGATGAGGCTGATGTGCTCTATCCTCTGCGTCCTGAAGAAGGCGCCACAGATTAACCAACACAAATATTAGATTTTTTTTTTTTTAATTGTCCTTGTTTCACACTGTCCTGTAGTTTCGGTCCCGTTGAACCGCATATTTATTGCGGGTTGAAGAATCAGTCACGCACGCGTGAGAAAATGAAGTCCCTGCTGCTGCTGCTGTTGTGCGTCTTTTGGCCTGCGGCTGCGGAGCTAAAACCCCGGAAAGGTAAGAGCAGACAGTTGGTTGCTGATGCTTATTCTGTCCTGACCAAACGTGTGGAGCTTAAAAGGAGGAAAAGAGTGGAAGTGTGGCTCAACTTCGACTCCGCCACAACTTTGACGCACGTCTCGGGCTCAGATCCGCAGGCGCTCCCAAACAAAAGTGCGGCGTTTTCTTCCCAAGTCTGATCAGTCCCATGCTGTCACAGAAGTATTCTACAGTTTGATCATATTTGCTGGTGTCAGTTTTTTTTAAATGTATTTTTATTTATTCATATATTTAGAATTTTTAAGCGTTTCACTCAACGTTTCTTTACTCTGAGGGATTTTGGCGTGAGGAGATGTGTTGGTGCCCAATTAAACGACTTTATGTTTTTTTTTGTTTTGTTTTTTATCACCCAGGCTCCGGGGTGTTTTGTACGTTCAAAGACAGGACCTACAGCCCAGGGGACAGCTGGCATCCCTATCTGGAGCCTTTTGGATTCATGTTCTGCATGCGTTGTGTCTGCACAGAGGTACATTTTAATGTGAACAAACTAAAGAAAAAATGACACCAGAATTTTGTAGCTGTCTCTGAAATTCTTGAGTTGCTGAGTGCTTGTAAAGTTTGACATTGCTCCCTCTTAGACAGGCCATGTGAAATGTAACACGATCAAGTGTCCGGCCCTGTCCTGTGAAAACCCCGTAGCTGAACCTCAGAGGTGTTGTCCAAGATGCACAGGTAGGCCGCCTGTGTTTGGCCACCAGTGTTTGACCGCCTGTGTCTGGCCGCCTGTGTTTGACCGCCTGTGTTTGGCCGCCTGTGTTTGGCCACATAATCGGCTGTCAGCTCACAGCCTCCTCTGCTCTTTAATTTGATCTCCTCAGATGAGCCCCGGGTCCCCGCAGGACTGAGAGCTTCTGTCAAATCCTGTAGGCATAACGGGACTATTTATCAGCCCGGGGAGACCTTCACTAAGCACGACCTCTTCCCGTCCAGGCTCAGCAACCAGTGTGTGATGTGCACATGCTCTGTAAGTTATATCCAGCTCACTGCTTCTGTCTTTTATTTTGTTTCTATAGAACAATGTTCTTGTTATTAATCTGCAAAGAAATAAGGGAGAAGTTACTACTGGCTTTATGCTCAGTTGGAATACAAAGATTTGGAATCCTTCAGACTCTTGTCAGGGGAGCTGTGAAGTATTTATGAATTCCTTACGGTGTGTCTTCCTCTGGGAATTTTTATTTTCCACTGAAACATAAGTCTACTTTACTAGATCAGCACGAAAGCACGGAAGGAAATCAATGAAAAGTGTTTAATCCCCAAATGTCCCAACTGTCTCCATAACAGTGAGGAAATGCATGGATGATCCTTATATTTGGTTAGCTTTGTTTACGATGCTGGATCTTCAGCATTACGACCACATCGGGGCCATTTGTTCAGTATGCTGCAGCTCTGCTCAGGTGTCTAAAGCTAGAATTGTGAGATATAGCTGTGAGAAAATTAGTTTCTTGGGGTTGTGCACATCTGTGCTTGTTATGGCGCTAAAGGGGAAGTGCTTTGATCAAATTCATTTGGTTTTTAAGAGGGTAGCAAACATCTCCTCTTTGTTCTTTTGTTGGCTGAGCTTGGTTGCGAGCAAAGTATGAAAAAGCAGAGCTGAAGCCAACACTGAACTCAATAATTGGACTTTACAAGGCCTCCTGATGTGAAAAGTTAACAAATCTACAAGGAGACCGTACATGCCAATAAACTTGGGTTCATGTGCTCAGATCCTGGTTTACTGTGAAAATCACACGGAATACGGAATAGATCTTTCTGTCAACACCTATTTGGGGTTTATTTCCACAGAATGGAAACATCTTTTGTGCTCTGAAAACATGCCAGCCCATCACCTGCTCCTCACCAGTTTCAGTTCCAGATACCTGCTGTTTGGTGTGTAAAGGTAGTAAAACTCCAGTTGGAGAAAAGGACTTTTTTCTGTTTCCAAACACGAATGCTGCTCGTAAAGAATGATACTTTTTTTACGGATTTACAAAATGGGATAGTTATTGCATGAATGCAAAAGATTATTAAAATGACAAGATTAGTGATTATTTCACTGAACTTTATTCAACTTTAATGGACTAAATTGGATCAAATAGGACAAACCATCACAATCTGAATGATAAGTAGAGGATAAGATGCCACGTCCTGCCGCCTTCACATTTGGCTTCCTTTTTTGTTTTTTTTTGTAGATCTTGGCACCAGTGGCTCCTCATCAAACGAGGATGGAAACCAGCAACTGAACAGAGGAGTTGTAGGTTTTTTTCTGATGTTTCAAGTGTGCTTGGTACTTTGCTTTGTGAATGTTTCCCATATTTAAAAATACATTTTAGTGCAGTGCAGGATTGGTTAGTGGGGTTAGTATTTTATCTGCTAACCTAAAGGCAGGATTTGGTTTCAGATGTTACAGGTACATTTTACCTACAACATTGGGATTGTTACAATGGTTTCAACTTGTAAGTGGGGATCTGTAGATTTCTCTGCATAACAACAGCTCTCGGTTGCTGTGTTGTTCTATTTTGGGCTGTTGGAAAATCTGAGATGTCTGCAGTGTTTCAGATGTGCGCTGCCAGCACATAAACTTTTTGATTTAGGGCACGGTTTTGAGCCTAGCCGAGCTATCAGTCAAGGAACTGCGAGTAAAGCCAATACGTGAATATCTGAAGGCTAACTGTTTTTTGTCATATCTGTGTGGACCAGAGGCATTCAGTGGACCGGTGTTCTACAGAGCAGGGCAGGGAGCGCTCTGACCGGGCCTCTCCGTCCAGGTTTAAGGCTTCACCCAGGAGCTTGAGTTTCAGCAAACTTAACCTTAAAGGAGGTTCAGAGACCACTGTGAAGATTTTGTTGCAGAGGAAACACCAGAGAGGTGAGATGTTGTCTAGACACAAAGACCATTTGGAGCTATTTGATTTCCTCATAAATTTCCAATTCTTTCAGTTTGTCACCCAAATGTACTTTCTTTTTCTTTTCTTTTTCTTTTCTAGTCTGTTTATACAATGGTAAGACATACTCTCACGGAGACGTGTGGCATCCAGTTTTGGGGAAGGTCCTGGAATGCATCCTGTGCACTTGCACCGATGGCCTTCAAGACTGCAAACGCATCACATGCCCCAGCCAGTACCCATGCCAACATCCTATAAAGTCAGCAGGAAAGTGCTGCAAGAGCTGTCCAGGTTTTTGAAACATTTCTGTACCTGCTTAGACGTGACACCGATTCACTGTCTAACGTTGTACACTAAACTTCTCTCTCTGTGTCTTTGTCTTCAGAGAGTAAAGCTGAAAGCAACCAGACCCAGTGCTATATTGGGTATAAAAACAACCTCATGGTGTATAAAGTGGACTCATCCTTGACAGTTGATTCACCAAACACAGTTAGGATCATTGCTGTTGAAAGACAAAGTACTTCTGAGATTGAAGTGCAAGTATGGAACACCATTGAAGGTACAGTGAAAAAAAAAAAAAAAAGTTTTGAAGAAAATGCTTGTTCACTTTCTGACTGACAATTAGACCAGAAGAGAGCTAAGAATTACCCACATTTGCTGGGAGGTCTTCAGAAATCGTAGAGACAAAAGAACAGCTGTCCAACAAGGGGAACCACTATTTACGAAATGTGTTGATTTTAGACAAACGCACAGTACTGTTAGTAACATTTTGGATTCTCACCTGAGTTCTTTGTTCGCACAGGTGCTTTACAAATAATGGAGATTGGCGACATTCAAAGAAAAGACATTATGGATCATCCAGAAAACTACACACTGCTTACAACGCTTGATGAAGGTTCGTTCTTGATTTGCTCTTTAAACTTGTTTCATGATGCAATTCTAAAGAGACGTGACAAATGACTGGTTCATTAATAATGTCAGGCCCCAGCATGCTACAGTATAAAGGAAGTGTTTTGTGGATTACCTTTTTTAAGCTTTAAATGCAATATTTAACTCTGGACAAGCTGCTGTCAGAAGTAACTGAAAGGAAGGTAATAGAAGAGTGCATTCCTATGTAGATGGAAATGGAAAATTGCAGCCTGAAGAACACAGTGTTCATCTGCTTTATTCTTTTCTGTAAGCATACAAGCAGAAAAAAAACACTTGTGGTGATTTAGTCTCCTGTCTGTATGTAGATTAGGGAGGAATTGTCATGAGACTGATTTCCTCTGTGTTTTGATGTAAGATCCTTTATTGATGTAAGTTCATTTTTCAGGGATGTGGAAAAGATTTAAGGAGGAAGGAGGAAATCTAAGCAAAGCTGCACAGGCCACAATCTGTGAAGAAGGCATTCGGGAAATAGTGACGTTCCTAAATCCCAAGCACACCGAGGACATGTGCGCGCCCTAATCGCCATTCCCAAAATCAGTGTTCCCAACGAGAATGTGGCTAGCATATGTAATCGGTTGATACTTTTTGCACTTGGATTTTATTCATGCAAGGGTAAGCTCTCCTTCACAATGATTGTTCTTATTGGTTGCTTTTGTACATCATTGTCCTTCATGTTTTAATCCGCACATCATTTTATTTGTAAGTGATTAGGCTACAAAACCCAGGGCACAGTGACATGGTTTGTTGTTAACTGTACTTATTTAATTTGATTTGTTATTAGATTTGATCAATTAATGTTTGAGCTCGAAGTGAAGATGAGAAGTCACATGAGTTTGTTTGAGCAATGGAGACTGTGGACCGTTATATTGTCATGGTCATGTGTTTATTCAGCGAGAAACATCATTGCAGGATCTTTTTTTCCCTCAATCTCTTTTTATAACTATAAGAGAGAGGTACGGATTTGTGAATATGAAGGGAAAGAGCCAGATTTAGTAAAGAATGTAAAAGTTTTTTTTTTTTTTTTAAAAGGATTATTTCTCAACATACTTATTGTAAATAGGAGCTGCGGTTTTGCCACCTTATTTAAAATGTATATGTTATTTTGAAATTTCAGTGTACATAAATGTGACTGATTTTTTTCTCTCATGAAGACGCCAGTGGGAGTAAATACACAGCGGTTTGGAGCTGTGTAGTCTCTCTGTGTCTCTCTTTATGATTTGAATCCTAGACATGCTGTTGCTATTTTTTTTTTAGCAGCTGCAATATTTTGTGTATTTTTCATAGCCCGACATTTTACAGCTATGCATAACTTTAGTGATTGTATTTACAGTGGACGAAGTAGATCTGGCTGAGTGCATCGTGTATTTCTGCTCTCAGCCATGAAAAAACTATAAAGTGCTCCCTGGTGTTTTACACCATTAAAACACTATTTTCTGATTTGTTTTTGGCTGTTACTTGCATGTTTAAGATCAGGCACTGTAGCAAATACACAGGGAATGCGTTCTTTAGAGAAGACATGCCTTTGCACTCAAAGCTGTTCTCAAGAAAGATTTGCTGATTCATCAGTGGTCTGCATGTTGGCTACAGCAGAGCGCTCCTGACACCGGCATGGCCTCAAGGCTTCCATTAAATAAAGCTCTGGAAGTCTGGATAAACTGAGTTCCCACTGCAGATGAAATGTTATTGAAGGCGTGGAGATCAAATGCAGAATTTGTGGAAAACCCTTATCACACTCAAAATTCACAAGGGCCATGAACCAGCATTTTCATGTTCCTTGTAACGATAATTTTTGCATCAAAAGAGCCCAAACGTGATCGTCCTGCTCCACCTCACTGCCTTAAATTCAGTCTCTGTAGCTTTAAGATGAAGTTTTTTAGGAAGAAAGCGAGACGAATTGAGTTGAGACTAAAAAATCTCTCAATATGAAACCATCTGTTATTATAATAATACACTGGATAGATTTATCATTTATATCTAATTATTTTTCAGTGGAAAATCTATGCTGCAAATTCTTCTAATACCTACATGTCATTAATGTTTTACTGAACTACTGTGACCGTGTATATCACAGAAACAGCATTTACCCCATTTGTACTGAACTTCAATGTTTCTTTGAGCTGGTTGGTTTTACATATTATGGTCAATTCTTATTCACCTCTATCCCAGAGGCAGCTTTAAAACACATTGAAAAAGAATGAATGAAAACATTGCTGTAACTTTATGCTTTGAGATGTGGTGGGGATTCCAAAACTGTTCATATTATCATAAGGCGAAGCCGTCTATATCAATGGAATATTGAATAAGAATAACATGTTTGATAGTTGCATCAGTATCACATCAAAATAAATGCAAACTCTCGGACAGCAGGACGATGGATCGTGTAGCCCGGTTGAACCAGGCGGATCTGGAAAAGCAGCCCTGTGTGCAGTCTTTCCGCAGGCCTGCTTGATCAACAGGTGTCAAATTATCGCCGAGGTTCCCATGACTCAGTCTGTGTGCAACTGTAGATTTGGTTGACTGAGTGGGCTCTTCAGAATAATATTGCTTCCCTCCTCTGTGAACTCCCGACATGCTCTCTGTCCCCTCCCTTTAGACAATGACCCATTGTGTTTCCTTCACACTTTGAGCCAGACGGCTCCGCTCATCTCTGACTAAAAGGACGAGACAATATTTGGAAAATGACACACTCCCCTTTCTTTTGTCTTCATTACTGTCACACAAAAGCTGTCATATTTTTCTTGTAGCTGTTGGACCTGACAGTTTACAGCAATGCCTCCCTCCGTTGCTCAGAGAGGTTGTTCCAGTCTGAAGAGTGGAGAAGGGGTTCTCTGCTTTGACTCTGTCATTTTAAATCAGACAGATTAGGTTTACATCATCATATTCCCACACAGGACATTAAAACACAGAGTCTAAATGCTCACTGTTTTTTTTTCAGTAAACATGCCATGTCCATGAAAAGCATGTTTTGATATCTTTATCTGTCATTTTTTATGGAAATCCCATCAGTCTGCAATTTGTGGAAGTTTGAATTTGTCCCCTGGGCTCATTCAGCTATGCATGCTTAGTCTTGGATCTGGCAATTGTAACAGCTGGGGGCAGTCAGTAGGTATAAATCATGCGGCCGGTCAGCTCTCTGTGTATGTGTACTCCACCCTGCTGCCCATGCAGCCCCGATTCAATGAGAAGTGAAGAAAAAGTTGGACTCTGGGTCACAACTCGGCCCTGGCCTGGAGGCACTTCTGGGCCAAAAACTGTGATATTAATAAAGCTGTTTTTGAGCCTCTCCTTAGGTGACTTCCTTTGTGAGACAGTCATAATTCTTTAATTGGCTTGAAACCAGAACATGTTAGTGTTCGGTGCAGAATCACTTTTTGCACTTTTGACAGAGGAGCTGAAAACCGTGTTTTTTTCTTAATCTGCTGCAGCAAGTAGTTCCTCGCATTAGCATGTAGTGTTTGTGGGGAACTGAAGCATTGCAAATCTATTGGGCAGTCTTTTGATTCAAAGGGAGCCAAACTATGTTAAGTTAATTAAGTCTGATAGATGTGTTTGCTTTCATAGCTGATTAAGGTGCTCAGCAGAACCCCTGAGTTTACACTTCATCCAAATACTTCCGAAATCTATCAAGAGCTCTGTTTTTTACACCCTTACCATCTCATTAATTAAGTTGCCCCGATCATCTTAGCTGATGATTGGAGCATTTCCAGGAAAACATGAACAATAGCAGGACACATCTCATGGATACTTCATCCTCAAATCTGTAGCATCTGAATCTAAATGGCCAAATTTTATCTTGCAACGTCTGTAAGCTGTTAAAGACAGGTCACAGTAAAAGTGTTGTTTTTTTCCCCCTGACAAGATAATTTGGAGGAACAACAACTTCACAGTTTCTATCTGTAATTAATAATGGGCTCCATTCAGATGTCAGCCAGAGTATCTGAAGCCTTTCCAGGATTACATGATAAGTGTGTTACAGTTCAATTGTCCATCAAAAGAAATAATGAATAGTTCCCGTCTGCAGTGAGCTCATTTGGCACTTGAGTAATGAGGAGTGTTGATGAGGTATTCAGGCCTGTGTTCGTCCTGAGCCAAATTTGGTGTCTGAGTCTCCACAGGGTTATTCTCAAAGCTTAACTGATGGCCTCCAATTCGAGAGTCAAACAAATCATACCCAAACATTTCTCAGCCTTGATTGCTGTGATGACTGCTCCAGATGTGAATCTGTGCAGTTTCGATACAAGAAAAACATATAGATATATAAACACAGATTTGCCTTCCTAAGGCACAGCCTACCGATGCCTTTCTTCTCCTTGTAGTGTGTTATTTTTGCTTTTGAAGGGTTTCCTGCTCTTCTGCCAGATTTTGTTATATCACCAAGAGCATGGATAGAAATGTGTTTCCAGTTAATAACTCAACTCACTGATTTTTCATGGTAAGAGCAAAGGAGGTTACGGAAGAAAAAGCATCAGTGAGCCTTTTTGTGTTGATGTTAATGCGAGGAAGCGTCCAATGAAAATAAAAAAGGAATGATTTTCCACTGGCTTCACTCTACAGCATGAAGTACGACTAGAGCTGAGCTTATTAAAGTGAATCACTTTCCAATTTTTGTGGAAATAAATTACGCTCGGGTGTGTTGAATTTCTCCATTCTTTAAGTGTTTTGTCACATCTTGAGACTGTTTTCACTCCTTTAGCATGCACACAACCAGGAGAACAGCAAGTGTGAATTTCCCTAATAACTATGTTGAAATCTCAAGACATAAAAATAAATGATGGGGCAGGAAACTGTCATTAAAGTTCTGATTTATGAGAGAAAGTCTATTTTACAAAGTGGACCTGAGGGATTTGAGTGCAATGTTAGTTTCCATAAAGCTGCATTGTGGGAAGAATGGAATCCAGTCATTTTTAATTAAATCAATATCGCTTTGACTTTTACTAGTCTGTTTTTCTTCTTCCCTTTGAATTCAGAGACTGTCTTGATATGTTGCAAAACATAACAACTCAAGGAAACTCACATGCTTTCATGAAAGCAACGATTTTGATCGGAATTTAATTTCTATTTGTATTCAAAATAAAATGTAATCACAAAATTCATAAACCGACATTTTATAAATCAATAAGAAGGCATCAGATGTTAAAATAAAAACATTTGACTACTTGATGGAAAATATCTGCTCATTGTGATATTGATGGTAGTAATGCATCTCAAAGGACTTCGGATGGGCGCCGCAAAAGGCTGGAAAAGTAAATGACAATGAAAGGAAACAGCCTGAAGAACATGTTGCTGCTAATTGGGTCAGTTAGCAGCAAGTCAGTAACATGGCTAGGTTTTCAAGAGCACCCAAGGGATGTAGAGTATCTCAAATGTGGGCATGGGCACATGTAACAATGCGTTAAAGAAACCGTCTACAAAACAGAATAAACATTTCTGACAAAAGTTTTATGTTTAAAGGTTATGTTTTCCATAACATCTCTAAATGTCTAAAAATGTTTTTGAAGTTCGTGTTGCAGATACTTATAGTGATTCACATCTAATCAGAGGTATGTTGATATATGAATGGGAATTCCCAAATGTGCCAGCCAAACCAGAGGCAAACTTTGGTGTGTCTATGCACAAACAAAGAATAAAAGAAGGTGGTTAGCGCTAACTACACTCATGGCAAAAGCTAAAAGAGAACCATTTGTCTTATTCTTCACCAAATTGTCAACATAAGAAGGAAATTGCCTCTGTACTGTTTCTTGAGAGTTTTGTTAGCTTGTGATGAGGTCAGTGAATGCTGATGCTGTACTGGGAAAATAACACCCAATAACAAGAATGACTACTCCCCCCCAAAAGAATGGAACAGTTACATTATTACAGCCTGTTGCACAATATTGGGCGTTTTTTCTTCTTATTCATCATTATTATTATTATTGTTATTATTTTTGTAATGTCAATAAATTATAATGCAACCGTCGATGCTTAAAGTGTTTACCATTATCACTTCATTATTACTTCTTCATTACTACTTATAATTGCATTCTGGCAAAGTAATTTCATGCCAGGACATGCTGGCTTTGAAACAGATGCATCATATTACTAGACAAATCCTCCAAGGGCTTTTACTTGAGTTGCCCAAAGCCTGGAAAGAGCAGAAAATGGAAAATATGTTATTGAAAAACAAATGTCCCGCACAAGTGTGATAGATTTGATGCACATGCTGCAGCAGCATGTGCAACCGTGGTGACAAAAACTGTGTGATGTGGTTGAAACACGGAGCGGCTCTGCTGAACACGGCTGAGCTCCAGTGGGCTGGAAAATCCTAATAGTGTAGCAGAGTGTTTCTCATTTGGCATGGCCCCCTCATTGCCATCAAATATACAGCTGAAAACGGAAAAGAAATAACCACATCCTCTGAATGAAGCCCACGTCATCAGAAAGTTGCTGAGCATGGATGATTTGAAGCTTTCCCAGATCAATGGGACTTTTCACGGGCAAGCAAAATCGTCCTATACAAACCGATAATGGATGGGTAAATAAATGTTTGACCCAATGTTTGTCACTGCCGTGAGTCACACTAATTATCATCAGATATTAAATGGCTATGTATGCCATAACATGCATATAATGTTTTTTTTTTGGCTATGTAGAGCTAGCAGTTTGTTTAACTTAAGCAAAACAAAAATAAACTATTATTCACTTCAGACACAGGAAAATATCTCAATATGACTGTAAACATGGAAAATCCCACAGAGTGCCCACTGATTTATCTCACTAAGGCTGAATGTGCATTCCACATCTGTAAGCTGCTCTGAAGACAAATAATGAAAATCATATGACCAACAGGGCTTTGAAAACCACGGGGCGCACAATGGAAACAGAATATGACTAGAAATGAAAGATAGCCACAATTTAAATCTGGCAGTGGTGTGGCACATGGCATTCACAGTTTTGGTTTTAAAAGAAATTATTATTATTTTCCAGTTATGTGGAGCGTAAATCATGTTGAACTGCACTGGTATGTTCAGAGTATTAAAAAGCTGCATGTCGGCTAAATATCCGTGTTTCTGTCAGGACAAGATAATACACATCCAGATGATAACTGTGATTATAGAGAATACCTCATTTGCCGTAAATATGAGGGCGTCTGAAGGCCCTGAAGTAGGCAGGCCACTGCTTTTAGCTCCTTTAGTGTCTTTCTTTGTTCTACTTTTGAGATGTGTGTCAACCTCTGCCAGATGGGGAGAAATCATCTTCTTACCAGCCATAATGTTACCCATCAAATCTTCAATTGTGACATACTACTGAAATGGTTTTTTTTTCATTGCTACCAGTCATTACAATTATCTTATGTTTCTTCCCTGATCAGAACATCAGAGTAGCAACATAAAGAACAATGTTTGTTTTATTGGTCAGCACCCTTCAGGAGGCTTACATGATCCCAGTATAACACTCATTAAATCAAACATAGAAATGAATTCAAAGTGACCTCTGTCCACTCAACAGATGGTCAACATCTCACCCGTGCAACTGAACCCTGGTCCTTGCAGAGGACGCAAACATGCTGGATTCATTCTTATCATAGTTGTGGTGGTGCAGCTGCTCAATATCATCAAACTCACAGCAGCATATTATTTGGAGATGCCCCCCAGTTTCAGCTGCAGATGCTTGCACATGCTTGGCCTCATGGAGTCTTATCTCTAAGACCTCTAGCTAAAGTGGACACTGGTAATCATCCACAACATGGATTTGGTTTTCTGGACATCACAGATTTTCTTTGGGAACTGGGAAGCCTCAACCTTTGTTAATAGGGTAGTGACTGGTCTGAAGTTCATTTTAATCACATCAATGCCAGGAGAGAGTCGTTAAAGCCAAAATGAAAGCACAGCTCAGCTAAGAGCCCCAATGAGAATTAAAGTGCTTGCTGGGGCGGAGGTTCAGGCCCGCCTTGGTCTGGGATTCTGTCGGGGTCAACGCTGGCCACTTCTTTGATCGTTTTCTCATGAACCATCATGTACTTTTTCTTCATATCGCTGAGCAGAGAAAGAGCCTCCTTACATTCCCCCGCGTTCCCGCCTGTGCTGTGAATAGCGCTGCCTGTGTGGACAACAGTGGTGAACAGAGCAAGGTGAGGCTGTGGCTGCTGCGTTGGCTGAAAATGGTCACATTCTGTATAAAGAAGACATGAGCCAACCTAGGGCGACTACTTTTCTGGTACCGCTTCCTTTGATTTCCTCGATCATCTCAAAGACCCTTTCAGTGCGATGCTTTATGGGTCTCACAGGCGGCATTTCCTTTATCTGTGCCCAATATAACATTAGGAGGTAGCAGTAGTGAGAGATTCAGAAGACACTGAAAGCGGCGGTGCGACTGTGAATCCATTGTGTGCATGGAAAAATATCTAACCTTTTTCTCCTTTCTTTTGTACAATGTCTGGATGCTATCAAGTTTTGGTTTGGATTCTCTGTAGATATGAAGATTCCTCACTGTGTGCTCCAGCATCCGAACAGCTGTCTGAATTTCTGATGAAAGAAAAGAAAAACAGGCATCACTGCTCTTTGTGGTATGGCTTTGTAGCCAAACAATTGTATGTAGAAAATACAAGATGGCTGCAGGGGAAACTAGATTCACTCCTCACCCAAGGACTTCAAAACATCAGGAATTGCTTTTGCATCCATCATCACTTCAGAGCATGAGGACTGTTCGGGACCGGTCCTGCATTTGTGCCTGTTGTCAGCAGCTTCTCTCTCTCCAGATGAAGGCTCACATTCAGACTGAGGTTCATGGTCTGCCTACGCAAGACAAACCAAAAGAAAACAGACCCATTTCAAATGCTGAGACAAAGCTCTTTTGTACATAGTTATGTAAGTAAAGTTTTTAGTTGACCCAGATGAACCTGAACAAGACATAAACAAACCTCCGTCATAAAGAAGTGCTCTCTGGTTTCTGGAACAATGCTGCCGCTCCTGCCCTCAAATCTTGGCGTTATTTTGACATCCGTTTCACATTTGTCCGTCTGGGTTTGTGTGGGACAAGCTGTGCTCACTGACAACGGCCTCTTTGACACCTTTGGAATTTTCTCTTCCACCTGCGATATAGAGATTTCTAAATAAATGACATTTTTAAAAATCGCTTCAGAGTGTTCCACTCTGCATAAGCAAAAGTATTCACCTTTGGTCATTTCTATTCACTTCAGCTATCCACACCAAAACCAACCTTCCATTTTGAATGAGTGGAAACCTTCAGTGGAGGCTTCTGAACCTCAGGGGCTTGCTTCCGCTTAATTTCTATCCCCAGTCTCTCATGGAGGTAAAAGGTCAGAAAGGGAGGGTCCCCTGTGTTCAGACGGAGACACGGGGCTGATTTCTACATTTCTTCGGCACCCTGAAATAACTGCACCACTGAAAATGGGCATTACCACTCCTCTGTGTGGTCAGGGGGTTGGAGTGAATATCTATTTCCCGCAGCTTCGGAAAAAGAGCGGCAGTAACCAGAGCTTCCTCTGTGGCAATCTGATAACAAACTATTGATGAGACATCTTTTTTCATAAGAAAACAAACAAAAGCAGGATGGCTATAACTGGCTCTTCATGCAGCATAACAGTGCACCTTGTTGTTTGCTAGATTGAGCAGCTGGAGTTCTGGTAGCGGTGCACCAGCTCCGTTACACTCCTCCTCCAAACTGTCTGTGGGGAAAGTCTCGATTGTCTTCAAATGTTCCTCAGTGTGAGGGTCTGATTTAGGGTTGGCCGGGTTGACGAGCAAAAATGACCATGTGAACAGAAACAGGAGGATGAGTAACAGACTGATGTACAGCGCCATTTTTAGTTGAAAACAAGTCACATTGAGCAGGTGATGAGCGTTTACCCTTCTCTTCTTTGTCAGATATCTCCACAGATTTTGAATAGGTGGTCAAGTACGGGATTTCAGAAATGCGGTTCCCCTGCAGGTTTAGATGCTTAACCCTGTAAATGGAAATTTAACAACTCCGTAATGTACAAGCATGAGTTAAATAACATATAGCAGACTTGAAATCTCCAAAACACCTCTTCAGATTTCTTAGACTGTAGAAGACTCCAGAGGAAAGTTTGTTTTCATCAAGCATCAGGACTTCAAGAGCTTCAAAGCCTCCGTCTCGATCGGCAGCCGGCCTGAAAAAGGACAAATGTTAAGAAAGATTTTAAAAAAGTACAAATCACCAACAAAAAGGAAAATTACAGCTACTAAACAGTCTGTGCTAATCTTCTGCTCTGCTGTAAGGCAGGTGCATTAAGTGTGGCCACGTTTGCTACGTGTGCGCCCTCTTCTGGTCCGTTTGGAAACTGTTCCAAACGATTTGGCCTTTTTTAGGAATTTGTAAAAGAAGTCCTAATAGAGTTTACAGACAGGGATCATGAGCAGCTACTCATAGTTCACTTGCCGGTGAAAACCACACTGCAGATACAACATTTTCACAAATATACAAAAACAAAACATAACAAAAACAATTGTAATATGCAGAATGAAGACTTTTTTATCCAGTTGAATGGATTTTATTATTTTGGCCACTCCCACAAATTGTGCCAAACCGACAGATGGTCTTTACTTCAGATATTTCAGTGTCTACAAAGAATGAAAGTTCCCAAAGCAAATGAGTAGATTTTTGGATTAAATGTACATCAGCCTTTGATAAGAAAAATACAAAAGCTCTTAGCAAGGGCATGTGAAGTTATTCTATAACAGCGGAATTACTCCATTAGAAGCAAGAATGCTGTGAAGCGTCCTTCTGTGGTCCTGATTTGTGTTAATGACAGTACTCACAGCTGAGTGTGGTCATAGCTCAAAGAACCCAGATCAGGAGGAAGATGATGGAGCTGATTTCCAGTGAGATGAAGGACTTTAAGTTGTGGAAGCCGACTGAGAGAGATTATATCCTTCCCTGATAAACTGTTGTAGGACAAATCTAAAACCTGTCGGAGTTTAAATGCATTATTCATAAGGACATGAGGACTTTGTGAAGACAAAAAGAGACTACCGATAATTATTATTTTGCTGACCTGCTCTGATGCTATTTAATTTAAAAATTCACTCACTTTCTGTCAGTATTGTTCAAATATAAAATAGTAACAGCTATGCAGGACCTGACTTTACACTTCATACCTGAAGATGTGGGAAATCAGAAGCCTCAAATGTCATGTTGCAAATTCCATTTAGAGACAGAATGAGTTCTCTCAATGATGCAAAACAACTGAAAGACCCTGCAGAAAACCAAAGGACATTTATGATTCAGCTCATCCCAGATACTATAAAAGCAGAAGATAAGAAGAGGAAGGAAAACTCACCTAAACAGAGGGAGTTAATGGATGCATCGATGGAAGCTACATTTTCAAACTCTCTTAAGTCTTCTGGCTTGACCTGTGTGGATGAAGGAGAGCGTCTGAGTCCTGTTCACCCACAGACTCTCAAATGGAATTGAGCAAAATGTGGAAATTCTTACAGTTTTCAGTTTCTGCTCACTGACATTGACTGAGCAGAGCTGAGCCGGCTCATCCACACAATGCAGCTGCAGCTGAATCAGGAAATGAAAAACTGTCTGCCACTGAGTTTGCCATCCTTATTCACATTCTGACACTTTTAGACGTATGATTCTTACCAAGAATTGTCGATCTAATGTGAAGCCACAGGGTGGGTCGGCCTTCTTTACTTCTTGACAAAAATTCTCCTTTACTCTCCTGTGGGTGGCCCTGTTCGTCTGCTCCTCTGTCTCTCTGTATGCCATCAGCCAATGACCTGCACCTGGCACAAAAATTACACTTTGTTTTCTTACCTTGTTCAAGTAAGAGTTACTGTTCATTATAATAGTGATTATCTATCAATAATACTAAACCATAATCATACTAGTATGGCTACTATCTGCATGACTGAGTCTGACTTGCAAAACTAGGCTAATCTATACATTTAAAGTGTTACATAATAACATATTACATGCAATCTTGAACGTAGTTAGATTTCTAAAAATGTATTTACTATTGTTAGACAACATCATGTTAAGTCAAAATGTTACTATAGACTACATGAACATTGTCAAGGACAACTTTAGTGTCAAACTATTTCTGTGCATTTTTATCAAGTTAATGTTGTTTCAAAGATAATTTTTGTAAAAAAAATTTATTTACACTGAAAATTGACAATGAAGGCATTGAAATAAATCAGTTCATTTTATTGCATTACAGAAGAACAATTTAGTTAAAATTGGTGGGGCTTCCAGTTTCTCTTATGACGAAATATTGTTAATATATCATTTGGATCTGAATCAAAAAGATTTCAGTTGATTTTGTGATTCATTTATTGTCAGTGATCAGTACAACTGTCATGGTATTTGTATTTAGGACAGACATGATTAGGCTCATCCAACAACACCTGAACCTGATTAGCAACACCTGAACGCAACTTCTGTAGACACAATCATTCACCACTGTAACAGAAAATGTTAAATGCCTCTCCATAGCCGTTATTTTAAGGAAATGTATTCATTTCCAAGCATTGCAACTATCATAAAATGGCTTTCTGAAATCCTTAAAATTCATATAGGTCTTATTTAATCTGATGTTGCCTACCCTCTTTTCTTCCACGCTGTAAAGTCCCGGTTGGAAAACATTTGGTAGGAAAACTCTGACCCTCATCAAATTGCCAAGATGCTGAAGCCATCCTTTTTTCACGTCGTTTATCTCCACACAACTTTGTATGCAAAAAGATGAATGTTAAAACCTGCTGAAAATATTTGTTGTGGTCTTGGAAAAACCAAACCGGTCCGACTGCTATACGATCCTGAGTGAGGCCGCTCTGTATCCTAGCAACAAGTGAGATGGCAGATTCCCCTCCTGGCCGACAGGGGGAGCCAGCGGCGTTTCCCTCCAGACGAGAAGCGGAAGAGGCCGTTCAGAAGAGCTTGTCAAAGCTTCATACTGATGTAAAGATGATACCCCTCCATGGCAACGGGACGGGATGGAAGAGATACTGTTAGGTTACAGTTATTAATATTCTTGAATTTGATTGATAAAGAGACAAATTACGCTAGGACTGGTTTTAGAGGCTTAGCTTGCTTAGTGCGAATATGCTTTTATTTATGTCATCCTTGCTATCTGTTTACTGCAACCTAAGTTATAATTTCGTTATTGAACGCGCACAATAGAATCCATTCTGATCAAGGCCTTTAAATCCAAAGCGTAGCATTGCGAAGATCAAGTTCTTCGTGTCATTTTCATCAAGCGTCTAAACGAACACGGAAGTGTGGGTGAATGTTTCTCTTGTATCAGTTTCGTCTTCGTTTTTGGATGAACCTACGGGATCAGTGTCGTGAACATCAGAGATCCGTGTTTTCCCTTCAGATGGACGCCTTATTCCGTTGATCCTGGGTGGCACAGGTAAAGAGGGACGAATGAAAGCTAAGGCCTGTGTTATGCATGCGCTGGAGACGTTTCAGGCTGTGTGCCCTCATCTGTGTCTGTGAGGAGCTCCTGAAGTGTGAACTCTACCTGTAAGTATGAGCTGTAGAGGTTGTTGCAACAAGATTACAGAACTAAGTGAAAATGTTCATGTGTGTGGAATATTTCCATCTCAGGCTCTCTCATCCACCATGGGAAACCGCTCATCAAAGAGTGACGGTGGAGAAGAACCAGTGAAAACAACTTTGTTTGAAAGGGAGCCGAGTGGGATAACCTACAGGATACCTGCTCTCCTCTACCTGAGGCACAGCCACACATTCCTTGCCTTTGCTGAGAAAAGATCCTCCCGCTCTGATCATGACGCCAAAGTTCTTGTTATGAGAAGAGGATTGCTGAAAGAGGATGGCTCCATCCAGGTTATTATTCTGCTCGATATCATCCAATAAGCTGATGGGATTTAATGCTAAAGCCCATCAACATTACAGGCTCTTTTTAAATGCTGCATTTGATCCTTTTTCTGCAGTGGTCGTCCAGTCAGGAGCTTTTAACTGCGTGCCTGCCTGACCATCGCACCATGAACCCTTGCCCGGTGTATGAGAAACACAGCAAAACGCTGTTTCTGTTCTTCATCTGCGTGTGGAGGAACGTCACGGAGGGGAGACAGATCATTACAGGTAAGAACAAGACGCGTCTCTGCTGTGTCAGCAGCACCGACGACGGGCAGACCTGGAGTCAAGCAACGGACTTAACAGAGAGCGTGATCGGGGAAGCTGCCCTGAAGTGGGCCACGTTCGGCGTGGGTCCTGGCCACGGCATTCAGCTCGAGAACGGCCGACTGATCATCCCCGCGTACGCCTATTACGTCCCCTACAGATGCTGTTCATACCCCATTCCCTTTACAGTCTACCCACGCGCACTGTCATTGTACAGTGAAGACTTTGGACAAACGTGGCATATAGGTAAGATGCTCCAAAGGAAGTCATGTGAATGTGAAATGGCTGAGATTATAGACCATGAGGGCAGAAGCCATCTTTATTGCAATGCTCGCCACTCTGGGGGGCACAGATGCGAAGCCCTGAGTGAAAACAGCGGGGTCTACTTTGACAAGCCGCACATGGCTCCGGAGCTGGTGGAACAACCTAAGGGTTGTCAGGGCAGCGTCATTGGCTTCCCCGCGCCCGAATTCGTCCCCAATGATGATGCCGAGAGCAAAGCTTGCGGCACCTCCCTCTTGTCGCCAGACACCCAAACCTGGCTCCTCTTCATGCACCCGACCAATAAGTCCTGCCGACGCGACATGGGCGTGTACCTGAACCGGTCCCCGCTGCACTCGTCGGGCTGGGACCGGCCCCGGATCATCCACACTGGACCCAGCGGCTACTCGGACCTGGCCTACAACGTGGACAAAGACCAGTTCTCCTGCCTGATGGAGTGTGGGAGGGAAAGCGAACTGGAGCAGATCGCCTTCACCTCCTTCTCCCTTAATGATGTCATGCAGACAGGCAGTAAGAAAGACAAGAAGATGCGCTGAGTTGGGGTTGTTTTTATTTCCGTGTTAACAAAGCTCTTTAAATATTATCTCGCATCTATGAAAAGAAAACAAACCTGTGCAAAAGCCACCCCAATATGCTGTGCAGTAACATTTGTCCGTGTTTACTGTTGGTCCACATTCCGGAGATGATAATGCATGCATGAGTCGTGTGTTCTCTGGTCTCCTTGTTTACAAAAGTTATTGAAGTCCTATTATTATTATTAATATGCAAGTTGCTATTTTAGAAAGGAAGCTATTTTTAATAGGGGGAGTGGTTGTCTTTAAGCATGCTGTGAGGGACTGTCATTCTTAACACGGGCTTTGCGTGTAGCATGTTTGATGCGCACTACATATCCGTTCCTGCATCTTATTGTACTGTCAGTTTCTCTGAGCAGTGGTGAGATTTAGCCTACCTCTTTTTATCTTCCTATGGTGTTCATTGCTGGCCTTTTAAAGCAGATGTCCCTACTTACTCAGTCTCTTATTTACAGTTAGTATACTCTGACTCACACATGCCTTTTACTCTATGGTTTATGCTGAAGCTGTGCAGGGACATGAAGTTGCACAACATGCGGGTCACAGTGGTGCAATCAAGCTGTAGGTACAATAGTAAAAAGGAAGGCCAAACGCATACCTCTGACAGCGTAAGAGTTTTGCCATAGAGAGACCCTACAAAAGGATCCATATCCCTGACTTTAAAACTGAAGTACACTGTGTGAGGTTTGACGTAGGACATGGTGGAGCGAAGTCATTGTTCTGTTTGCCAATTGTCTGATCTTTATTCTGGACTTTATTGGGAGCCAGGGAAAATTTGTGAAATAAGGTGTCTTTTGCTGGTTATGGTTGAAGGTTTTAGATCCGCCACAGCGTTTTCTTGGAGAACTGGATACAAAGAATTTGTTATATTTTGACCTACAAGTGAAAAACATGCGTACTGCTCTTTCAGCATCAGAATGAGACGGATGATTTACCACTGATCAAAGACTTGTTTTGTGTACGGTTCAGCAGAAGTTCTACTGTGATTAACAACTGTGAACACCAGCTCCACATAATCTGACCCACAAATTGTGGAAGTCACTGGTTCTTTCTGAATAAGAAATGATCTTCACAGTGAAATGTGATTACTCTACTACGGATCCCTGTGGAACTGTGGTCTAACGGGTGTTTGAAGGGTCATTGTTCGCTTGATCCAACAACGAAACAGAGCTTTTTGAAATGTGTTTTATCATTAATAAATAACTAAAATTATTATCTTTATGTATTGGCTAGATGAAGAATGAAAATGGTTTTCTCCTGTGTGTTTTTTTTTCCATACACTGTATTTGTTCTGACATATCTGGAATGCACTGATATTAGCCGATACTTTCCGCTGGTTCATTGTATTCTCTCATGTCTTTTCTTGCTAATCACATTCAGCATGATCCTTGTAAACATGCTTTTTTCCCATTTATCATTTTAAAATACATTTTTGACCAAATACAGTAAGCTTGCCGTGATGGAATGAAAGCTAACGGCAGATAAGACCCAGTTAGTCAAGTCACTGTTTGCACATGAACCTTCTGGTACTGGGGGACTTTAATGTGCTCATCGTTGCGAGGTAAAAAGTCTCGAGGTGGTTATACACTGCTTTTATTGTGTTTCTGTTGACTGTTGTGGAAAAATGACAAAACCTGCATGAAACATGTATTTTAGTACAGAATAAAAGTAACCTGTGATCACCTGACTCATCCTTCGCTCCTGTTTTCTGCACCTTTTTCCCCCTGCTCGCATTGTGAAGTAATTACAGTAATGATTACTCTGAACACCTGACATGTAAAACAATAATCAGCTGTCGAGGAGGCTACCGAGCAACAGGCTACGCGTGCATGTGCTCATGAAAAGCCTCTAGCCAACAGGAGCATTTCATTCCCCCGGCAGCCAGCCGAAGCCTTCTGCATCATTTTGCGAGCCGAAATGATGTTGAGGGCCTCCGTTGTGAAACAACCCACGGGGAGCTGGACATGAATCAGCAGATGTGCAAACGGGGGGAGGACAAATTAAGGACAAACAGGAGCGTTTTAGGGAATGACTGGAGTGCCTACTTTCTTTATTTAGCAAAGCATGACCGTGACAGTATCCAGGAGTGCACAAACAAATAGATTCTAGCTTCCGTCAGAAAAGATTACGTGCTTAATAACTTGATTGAAGGTTCACAAGACAATGCATTAGGCAAGACCCCCACAAATGTTATAGGATAATAATAAAGTTTCTGCATTGCTGACGTTCATTAAGATTCTGATGAAAATGAAAAATTTAACATAAAAACCAGGTCATAAAATGTGTTTTTGCTTATATTTAATAAGCCTGTATTATTTTCTAAAGCTAAGGTCACCTTACTTGTTAAAGAGATTTCTATAAAAACAGAATTACTCTGTGTTTGGGGACCATTCTCAGCTGTGAATTGATTCACGTTTGGGGCTGCAGTGTCTGAGCAACGGCGCGTCTCACTGTGGGATAAAAGCAACAGGTCACCCGTCATGATGGTCAGTGCTCTGCAGTTTAGCTATAACACACCATTTTTTCAGCTATCTGTTGAAAAGATTCAACCAAAATGTTTACTTCACGCACTTGTTTTCCATTGACTTGAAATATCTGCTTTGGTCTGCTTGGGATTCCGTTGGCTGGTCACATAACAGGTGGGAAAAGGACAAACGGGCAAAGTGTGGCACAATGTTTGGTGGTTGTAGTTCTCAGATGTGGTTCATAGCAAGACGGCTGCACCTCAGATGTTCCTCATCACCTTCTCCACGACCTGCGTCTGATGAAAGGGCAGACTCGTGAAGAAAAAAAAGGCTTCTCTCTGATGTTGGGTGGTGAGGCAGTGGACATTTTCCAGCACATATGCTTTGCCACTGTGGCGACACCTGGACATCCGGTAGCAGGGAGGATGCAAACGGAGGCGCCACAGATGTTTGGTCTTTGTGTTCAGTGTGTGTGTGTGGGTGTGTGTGTGTGTGCCATCCCAGCGGGCGCCACTCGCAGTACACACCACTTTGATGTTGTTGCTGCAGCGTCCATTTGAATGACCCAGGGGTACACAGGTGAAGAGGGTTTGGAATTTTGGGCGATGTGAAAATGACAGGAGGATGGTCAGGCTGTGATTTCCTTTTTTTTTTTTTTAGCTGGATGCCACCCACATTTTTGTAACTGAAGAAAATGAGCTCACCAAGTAGTGGTGCCATTGCCATGCCCTGTCCCCTGCAATGTCCTGTTGCTTTCCTTTTCCGTTGCGACAAAAACGAGTCACTCTGCAGCTACAACACTGAAGTATGAGCCTCTGAGGGCAAAAAGGGGTCAACAACACTTGATAAGTTTCAGTGGAATGTCCTGTGCTCTGAATGTTATCTACTCAGCTAGTTGAGGGTATAAATGTTGGACGTTGAATTCTTTTCAAAGTCTATCAGCTGTAGCTGAAAGAATAGCTAACATTTTACTTTGTATGCAACAGATAAATGAATATCTACATTCAATTGAGCTATATATTTATATAGATACAGACATATACATTTATAGTGTGGTTGTGTGATTAGCCCATGATTTATATGTGCCGGTGATAAATTCAAAAGTCTTGTCTGACTGCATTTGTGTCCATGAAACTTTTGTTGACTCTTGTGTCAAATCACTATGTTAATATTTGCATGAATGTTCTGTGTGTTTCCGTTGAATTTCTTCGATCACTGAAATAAAGAGTTGTTGGAATATGTTATGCTCTTTTTCTCACATTTTGGTAACAGACAGTACGAGTCTTCTCATTTCTTTTTTGGTTTCTGATTGTTGCAAGGCAGTTGAGTATAAGACAAGTCAAGTTACATTTCCGCTGTTTGACTTAAGCTTCGCTGGACCTGTGTTGTACATCTTCAAGGAGTCCTGGAGCGACGCCTCTGCAGACTCTCCGGGAAAACTTTCTAGCTTGTGCCACTAGGAAAAACCTATTTACAGAACAATGTTGCCTTGATGTCAGCTCCAACAACTTCATTTCCTTAAAATGCTGTGCGGGTTTTCATAGGAAATCACAAAAAGGAAAAATTCTCCCCTTCCTTAAACATAACTATTAAATAAACAAAACAAGAAACAACATGAAGTCGGTGTGCATGTGTGTGTAAGTAATACAGAGTACTCCCAGGCAAATATGCAGTGAAGCTGTATTTTTAGGTTTCGACAAAAGAAAAAAAATACATTTGCTAAATCGTACCTCAAGTGACCTCTTACCACGTTTGGTTAACTCTGACTACTTTGTTTTTGATGATTTGAAAAACGACAGCTTTACCACAGTGTGTCCAAATGTTACGGCCAGATGACCAGAGACCTTTCTGTACACTCCGACTGTCTCAAGAACAGTGACAATATTCACAAGAACTGCATCATTAAAATGTGTTGTTAACATCTTCCTATACTGTTTAGGACAATATCGAGATTATATGACGGAAGGACACAGCCGAGTCTGCAGGCTGCTGAGAGGACTTAAGGAAAGGGCCAAGCAGTACAGGTGCTGAATCAAACTGCTGGACGAATCAGAGTTTGAAGAAAACAAGGCGTAGAAGGGCACTGCAAATTTACATAAGCCATAAAAGCCATGCCACATTTACACCCTGTCCGGGCTGTTCTTTCTTAAAGGGACATGCGCACGGTTTACGAACATAGGAGGCAAAAAGTCTGGTGGGAAAGCCGCAGGGTTGGGAAATCTGCTATCAAAACCTCACCCTCTAGTGATTTCTAATTCATTGTTGTTGTTCTATTATTGTTTTAAGCACTATTTGAATTCATCAGTCATTTTCAGCCCAAAATAATTTGTTATACGAGTATATTCGTAATTCTCTTAAAAACAGTTTTTTGGTGTTAAGATCACTGCAATGACTACAAGTAATCTATTGTTCCCAACCCGGTAAAGCAGTGAGCGTAGCAGACCAGTCACATGCATGTTATGGGAATAGCTAGGCTAGACACACAAGTACTAACCTTTGGCTCTCTGGCTGCTGGTTACAAAACATCATACAGAATAACAAGCAGCTGCAGAGGGAGGAGACTCACATGTCCAGTGAAAGCACCATTCACGCAGTAAAGTTGCATTTGAACACACAGGTGTGGTTTCTTTTCCGCTTCAGAACATCTAATTGCACAGTCAAATCTGCTCGGATGGCAGTTAAATATTTTCAAACTCCTTTTGTCCGTAGATGGCAGAGACCTGCCACTCTGTCCAAGCTTCATCCTCCTTCTGCTTCAGTAGAATGTGTCTGTGAGACAGTGAGCGATGTAATCAAATTTTTTCCCCCCAAACAATTGAAAGATTTTCTCTTTTTTATACATGAAACAATATACTGCGCAAAATGGGTCTGCGCACATATTGGAAGCATAATGTTGCTGAGATCATGCAAGTTGAGTATACAGCAGAGCAATAAGCGATGTTTTCCTGTGTCGTCATATTCTTCTTCTTGTAACATCATCTGTCACTCTGATTTGCATCTTCAAGCACGAGACTCTTTCTTTGCATGTGGTTTATTTCCCAGCAGGGCATCAATCTCAGTAATGGTTTGTGGGTTCATTTGGGATAAAATCTGAAATAAAGGAGGGCTTCGATCAGTTTGAAAAGGGGATTTTTGTGTGTATGTGTCGCACTTAGTATCACACACAGTGTAAGAAGCTGTGTCTTCTGGTTTTAACAATGTGGCTCAGTATATCTGGGAAAAATGTAGACAAAAAAAAGAAGAAGCATTACCCGGAGGGCACCAAGGTTCTCAAGTAGCTGGTCTGTGTTGGAAACACCCAGAAGTACTGAGCTGACTCCTTCACTGCGCAGACACCAGGCTGTGGAAAAGATGAAAACCAGGAGGCTCAAGACACAATTTCCTTTGTTAATGTCATGTGTTGGGAGACAAAACCCAAAGGGAATCATTCATATTCAACAAAAAGTGATAAATACTGTGATGGAATCAAAATCCATGGTTGTTTCTGTCACAATATTTTTAGTTTTTTATGCTTTTTAACATTTATTTATTAAAGAATAAATAAAAATGATAAATGTTTTGTAATGTGTGAAAGTAAGTAGGTGCGTATTTGAACTCCCTGTATCTGTTGTGTTGGCACAGTAAAGTCAGTTGATTGGTCAGGGTGGTACCTATGGCTAACTGAGCAGCCGTGCAGCCCAGTCTGTCGGCCAGTAGATGGAGCTCCTTGATTTTAGCAAGCTGCCTGCGGCCCTCCTCACTGTTCACCCGTTCCTTTAGCCATTGGTATCCCTTCATCACAACCAGGGTGGAGAAAATCAGCGTTAAAAGACTGATTTAGCATTGAAATATTGATAAAGTTGAGAACTACAAGGCTGATTTTGAGTGAGGAAAAAATCCCTGACGAGTGGCTATTAAATCAAGCTGACCTTCATGGCTGCTCTGGAGCATTCTGGCACACCATCGCTGTACTTCCCTGTGATTAATCCGCAAGCGAGTGGAGACCAGGTCATCGCTCCCACACCTGTGAGGATGCAATGAGGGTCAGAGAAATCATATCTGCTTTCCACGAAACACTGCTGAGCGAATATAGCTGCAGGACTGAGAATGTCTGACCGATCTTGTGGTAGAGTTCAGGCAGCTGCACCTCCACTTTATCCCTCTGGAAATAATGATATTCTGCCTGCTCGCACACAGGCGGTATCAGATTGAATTGCCGCGCAACCGAGTACGCCTCCTGGTGCCAAAGAGATGGAACCAAAATGCTGTTGTTACATATTTGCATTTAGGCTGACAGCACAGAATTAGTAAAGATCATGACGTCAAAGTCACAGTTGAATATTTATCACCATGATCTCCATCGCACTCCAGCGCGAGGTCCCCCAGTACATAGCCATACCCTGGTTTATAACAAATGTCATGGCCCGAACGATCTCTGCAAAACAAATATATGAGGCAAAACATCTTATTCGAAATGCACATTTAGAGGCATTTTGTGACACTTTGTTTGATAACAGATGCAGATTACCAAGGAAGACACATCATTTCAGATGTGTGAAACTCACCTTCCATCGGGCTGTTCACGTCATTTCTGTTGGCAAAAACTAAGTCCACATAATCTAACTGGAGTCTTGACAAAGATCCTCGTAAACCTGTGATGAAAAATGATTAATTACTTGATCAGATGTTTGTGTCAGACAATCACAGATGTGCATCTGCAACTCATCTGTAACTAAGTGAGTTGCAGATGCTTTTAAACAAAAACAATAATGTCATAATTAAAATCCCACTTTATGGCTATGCACGCAAGTGTATTTCTCAACACATGTCATCCTAATGAAATGTAATGTAATGTAATGTATCCTGTGTTAGGAAACAACTGGCAAACAAACACAATACATAACCCTGAAGCCACATCTATTTTGATCACATGGTTATCTCAGTGAATACATACAGTTATGCATCGGCTGGTTAATTGCCTTGCAAAACCGTCACAAGCTGTCAGCACAAAAAAAGCACACACTCCAAAAGAACAGCATATAACATGTTAGATTTTTCTGAATGAAAACCATTCACATAAAATAACAATCACACAAAACAAAGAATCACAAAATAGTGCCAAAGGGATCAGAGCTCAAAACAGTATTGTTGTTATGCTCTAAGGTACTTCTTAAAATATAGATGAAGTTAAACGAATATCCTAAACAAGAATGTGAATGACAAACCCAGAACTATACATGCATCCAAGCCATTACTGGCGTATTGTCCCTTTGAGCCAAGGAGACACGGCTCTCATTAAACTAACAATTTCAGCGAACATTTGAATACAAGTCACAGCTTTGCTAGAAGGGGGATGGGGGTGGGGGGGTTCTGCTGGTTCAGGCAGGTTGGGACAGATAAGATAACTTATGCATAACGTGACCATCATGCTAAAGCTTTAGAAATGCACTATAGATTATACTGTCTTTTTTTTTCCCTTGTTGGCACCGTAAAACACTTTGAAAATGCTTGCTAATTTTTCATAAAATCCCTGAGGCTACAGAGATGATGTTTGGATGGCCCTGAGAGATGATGATGATGATGACAGTGCTCAACAGAGCATGCCATTGATGAACGAAATATGTTTCATCTAGAGGTGAACATTTCATGTTAGACTCAGACCAAAAGCATAAAGCCTAAACACGTGAACCGTCCTTTAGAGCTGCATGTAGTTAAACTAATGTGCAGCGACATGGAATCAAAAGCTTCGCAACAACAACAACAACGCTCGAATAAGCCACTCGGCTGGATGGTAAATGGGGGCTCAAGGGCTTTACCACTTCAAGGACAAACTGAGGTGTCCTCAGACAAGGATTATTTTTGGGAGCGGAGACTGATTAAGTGGCCGTAAAATGACAGAGCTGGCATGCTATTAGCGCTCAGCCGCATCCCTCGGTAATCTCTCGCCCTGTGTGCTTCTGTATTTGTTTGATGCGCTCCAATGTGAAGACAGTCCAACACTCCCAACTGGTCTCCAGCGGTCAATCTATAGAGCCATCATTTCGCCTTCAACTTGTGTGTCGTAAATTCTTGCCGTTGACATGAATTTACTGGTACTGGTGAGAGCTCTCATCCCCAGCTGCAGAGACGCTGAGAATTGCGCTTCACTTTTTGGCTTCTTGATGTAATTTAGAGTGCCATCAAATGAGCAAAATTACATACCGTGATTCATCACAGCTACTGTGGTTGAATTTTTTATGTTCATAGTTCAGGTGAATTGTAGAACCACTTTTGATGAGTATTCCTACAACTTAACGACGCCCCAACAAACCTTTTTTTTTTTTCTTGCTTGACTGATAAAAAAATGCTTGATCTACCTTCAATAATGTGCTTTCTGGAGAGCCCTCTCTCAGTTTCTGCTCTGTGGAGTAACAAAAACACACAATATTGATGAACTATTGAAATGATAAGACAGAACTACTTAAACCTGCTGTGTGTAACTGTTATACTTACTGGCCTCCCCAATAGATTTTTGTTGTGATGACAAAACTTGAGCGCCTGCCAAAGATATAGATGCGTATCATTTAAGAATGGATATTTCTAGTTATATGTAATGCACAGAGACTTTTAGCCATCACATTTTTTAGATTTGCTGGTCAGTTCTGGTATGGTATATTAGAAAATAAATTACCAGACCACTCCTTGTTTCAGTGGCTCACAGTGAGTCAGCTACCAAATATAATCTGGGAGTTATGTGCACTTGATTACATTCTTGTCCTTTTATAGTCTTTATGAGGCAAAAGCTCTACATTTTTTGAAAAAGTATGAATTCCCCTTGAGATAATTAAGATGGAGCAATTGAAAAGTGCATTTAACAGAGGGATTAATAAGGATTACTTAGAAAACATTTGTGGTCTAATATTTAGAAAGCTTTTTATGTGCATTTGATTAAGATAAAAAAAAGAGTAATGTCACCTCCATCCTTTCTTCTTGATAATGTTCCCCAGAGTGATTTCCGCTCTGTGGAAAAAGGCATTATTGACTGAAATGGGTTTCTTGCTAATATAATACTGTGGCGCAAAGACATTAAAACACTCAGGAAAATCTCTAAATACATCATGTGTTAACGGCTTAACACCATCACTTGAAGAGAGATGGTAAATATATGTTTAAACAAATCTACTGAACAATATGAGACGCTTTCATTGACCAGTGGAAGAGGACGGTCTGACCTTCCGGAGGCGTACACCTCCGCCGTGTCGAACAGGTTCACTCCATTCTCATAAGCTATGGTCATCAGGTTCTCAGCCATCTGAGGCAACAAAAGTCAAGAGCAGTGGATGAATTCTCCAAAGACTTTTTTGGGAGGGGTTATGTGACTGAGGGGCAGTGTATCAGAAGCAAAGTGAGTGAAAGAGCTGAGAAAAAAACAGACGCCTCACCTCATCAGAGATTTGCGATCCAAACGTCACCCAAGTGCCTGAACAATAAGAAAATTACAGGGATGGTTTCATTTGATAGATTTTTTAAAAAAAAGGGATTTTTCCCATGCATTCGAACTAACTCACCTAATCCCAGGCAGGACACACGCAGGCCGGACTTTCCCAGGTTCCTGTGAGGGGGGAAAAGGTCTGTGAGCCTGACGGAATAAAGCTCTGCAGCTCTCAAAAATACACAAATGAGATGTATTTGAAAGAAGAAATAAGATAGATTAGATCTTATAATGTGCTGTTACGTACTTGACAGTTTGTCAGGGGAGAAAATTGTGTACAATCCTTTTTAAATTAAAGTGTACCACTTGAAGTTCTGATATCCTCTATATAGAAAGTCCATTTCAAATGTTTCTTACAAATAATATGTCATTGTTGAATATTTTACTGGACAAATTATAGAATATAATCACAAAAAGAAATATTTAATGATAAATTCTGTTCATCAGACCACCTTCAGATAATGTACACATAAAAAAACATATCCTGAAATGGAAGAGGTGGGATGCTGTAGAGAAAGTGACGTGCAGAGCGGTCCATTGTGAACAGAAGACGATCCTCTCTGTCTGGGCTTTAATGACTCTCTGTGTCTAATCAGTTCTTCATACTTTATCCATCTTATGTTACAGGATGCGTGTGTTCCAGCTGATTGGTGGGAAAGAGCCCAACTCCACTGGTGTCCAAACAAAAACCCTTTGAGGTCTGAGCGGTAAATGGCCAAAAATTCTCAATAAGAACCAAAGCGGAGTCCAAATTGCCACATCTGATTATCCAGACAGCTGAATGTTTGAAAGGCTGTCAGAGAGAAGCAGAGAGCTGCTTTTCTGGCCCCGGCAGCATGCGCGGCTAAAAATGATGTGGGCTTTCTTCCCTCCTTCTCCTCCACGTTTGCCCCCCCCCCCCCCCCTCCTCTTTCCCCGGGGGGGGAGCTGGGGGGGCAGCAGAGCTGCAGTGCAACTCACTGCTCGCCGTCTTTTCATCTCCAGCGCTTCTCCCCTCTCTGCCTGTCTGCCTGCGTCCACCACAAATAGCCAAACGCAGACGGACAGACTGTCACGGCATTTAGACACAGTCAAACGAGCCCTGCCTTTATTTTTCCGTTCTATTTTTAGCGCCGGACATTCTGCTATTTTTAGATTCCTGCATAAGTAAGCATTTGTGTCCCACCGTGTGTGCTGTGCGGGGGCATGGGTGCTCGCGTGTGCGCGCTGCGTGTGGGCGTCAAACGCATATGGGTTGTGTCATTACATGAAAACCCTGTCAAAATAGCGCACAGGTGAAAGGTCAAGGATGATATATAAAGGGAAAATGTGTTGTTGATTCCTTGTATGGTAATCGGGTTGTTGTTCGTCGGTCAGTGACAGCTCTGCATGTTCTCTCACACTGATGCTTACTTTCAACACTTGGAGCACATACAAATCAATCAAAATGAGAAAACACATCTAACAGACACGTTTCTTTTAAAGCCTTTTTCATATCTTTTTTCGTCTTAAATCAGACTTCTTTCCCATTGTTGAATGTATTGTGACATCTTTCGTATGATGCTTTTTTCCCCTTCACTTTAAATCAGGGACAGCTAAAGATTTTTTTTTTTCAAACAACATTTGACAAGGTTGGACCAATGACAGCAATCCAAAAATATTCCCTGCAGCTTTGCTGTCTTTGATCAGGATGGCTGCTGTGTCTGAGCCCTGGGAGGACTTAAAACGATATGATGTGCAAACGCACGCATCATGCATTTATTTATTTATTGTCAGAACAATTTCTTGAAAAAAATGGATTAAAAACGTATTAATCTTAAGAATTATGCACGAAAAGCCATTTCTTTCAGCCTGAGGCTGTTTTGTCATTGGTAAAAATGTGAATCAATTAAATTCAATCCCTGGTGGGTTTTTTTACTGGTGTCACAACTTCTTTCCATACTTCTCCCTCCAAATCGCACCACCGTGGCAAACTGTGTGCAAAAGCCACCGAAACACAACGGTGAAACATGAGTCAGCACGAGGAAAATGTCAAGCATCCACAAAAGTCACCGGCGGTGACACACGTGCGTGGCTTTCTGTTTCAGCGTGCGTATGCTTTTAAAGATCGAACGTGGGACTGGGTCATTATTTTGGTTAACGCTGTCAATCAATGCATCTCGCCTGGAGCACACAACAGTCTGGCGCGCAAGCTTGTTGTGTCCAATCAAATGTTTTAGTGTGTGCTTGCTCTGGGCAGTGGAGGATGTCATTGTTTCTGTGTGTGACAACTGCCGCCCCCCCCCCCTTCCCTCCTCCTCTTCCTCCTCCCTGCTCTCAACTCCACCGCTCTCTGCAGTGCTGCAGTCTGCTAAATTACTATCTGAGAGTCTGGAGAGACACATGCTCACTCTTTCCTCTCGCTATCTTCCTTATGACAGTCTTTACCACAATCTCTGTCTCGCGCACACACACGCGGACGCGCGCTTAAACACAGACAAATGGCCTGTATTTCTTCGGACGCCGGGCCAAAATGGACAACGTCTTCAACGTTGTGACGACTCCATGTGTACATTCACGCTCGATGGGTATTTCACTCCAGTGCGAGGACAGATCTGCATACGGACACGCATGAATGCTCCCGTGAGCAAGGCGCACAGGAGCACAGATGCTGCTCTGTGGCCTCGATGAGCAGGGCTCCCCGCATTGTCTCCCGCCATAAATCACGATCTCAAAACAAGGTGATTATAGGGACTCTGCTCCTCCGTCCATACATTATTAACCGAGGAGAGGGGAGACGCACAGGTGCACTGTCATGGTGTAGTCAGCATTTTAACCTGTGCTGACATTTACAGTTGGTTTTCACCCGAGACAGAAGGAAGACACTGTGTACAGATGGTTAGGTGCAGATGATGGAGTTTTTTTTCCGGCGCTCCTCATAAAATGCCACGCACAAACACACACACACACACACAGTCTACAGGCTCTCCTCCAGAGGGAAGCACACCTAGATATTAATAACACTCACGTCAGAGTTTTCTGAACACAAACTGTGGGAAGATGGTGGACTTACAATAACACTGTGTACACTGGTTCTTCTGAATCATCACTTCTATCGGATTAAAACAAACTGATTTTCACCAATAGTAAGGTCTCATTCTTATTATAAAGTAATTGCACTGTGAAGTGAAATGTAATAATTTTTAGAGTAGGGTCAGAGTCAGCTTTGAAAACTTAAACAAATTTAACCGAGTCACAGTATCAAGTTAAGTAACAGCTTTAAATAGCTGAACTGAGCTCTTCTAATACATGTGACTGGATCCCCGTTTAGAATCAAATATCAGCCTTTTAAATGCCCTGGGTCATAAAACATGCTGAATGATTTTATTTCTGAGAAAAAAACTGCAAAGAATAATTGATACCCATGCTGGTTACATGCACATTTGATGGCAGTAAATGGGAAACAAGCTCACGATAACACAAAAGTCAAAACACAAAGAGTCAGCAAAAATTTCTGGAATGTTGGATTCAGTAGCAGAAATATTTCATATATTGTGCTGTGATTTAACTAAAAACTGAGAATACATTTAATGTCCTGAGACTGTTGGATGATTTAAAAATGAATATGGGCTAACTACGAGCAACAACATTTTACACAATTTAGAGGAAAAAATGGCAACCTTATATGTCTTTTTATGGAAGTGCGCAGGAAGAGGAAAAAAAAATCTCCCCATGTTCATATTCCTTGTTAAAAAGGTCTTCAATTTACCGACCCGTGTGCATTTAACAGTTTGGTGGAAACCGTTGTCACTCCCTGGCGACAGATAGAGGAAGGGATGGTAAAACCACATAGATTGACAGACATACTTGTCTGTGGGCCAATCTTAAACAACTCCTTGAAAATGTGGTTTTCTGCCCAGAAATGTATGGGCTGTAATGTAAAACTCTGTGACCGCTCTCCTGTTTGGTATAAGTATAATTTAATAAAGCATTAATGACAGCTGGACCTCTGGAGGAATTCATACTCTCCAAGATCTGTATGACAGAAATTGTTTGATTTCACAAAGAACGGTATTCTCTCCCCGGGTGTCCTTGGTTTCTGTATCTCCAGTTGAGATCAGTCATCCGTGCTCATGGAGTCCTGTGTGATTTACCGTTACCCTCTCATCCGTTGGACATACAGATTCCCTTTCAAACACCCTCTACATGATTAGTGTCAGTCATTTACAATGAACTGCTATCTAAGAGAGTAAAACCTTTTGGAGTGGTCAGTTCTTGGAGTCGTGAACTTGAGGGCCAGGGTTATGATTTTGACAGGGACAATATTTGGACAAACATACCCGTCTCATCAAGGAAGCCAGCACATCAGCTTATTCTTTAGAAGTTTGTGCACACATTGGATATCACAGACGCTTTACCATGAAACTGACAGATAATCCCAACAAAATGTGATCAGAGCACCGTTGGTACATATCTCCATATTTTCTGGGAGTGTCCCCCTCTGCATGGTTTTTGGTCCAAGGTGCAAACTTGCCTTGACAGTATTTTAGGATTTCCAATTCCTATCCACCTCCCCGTATTTCTATTCAATGATGACTAAATTCTTAGTGGTAATACCAGATTGGCCCAGAGGAAAGTTCTATTCGCAGGACTGACAGAAGACTAGAATACACTCATGGTTTTCTCCAGACATCCCATCAGCAAAAGAATGACTAACTCACTTTAGAGACATTGCTATTTTAAAAAGGTAATTGGCAACAAATTGCAAATATCTACTGTGCAAGCCTGAGACGCTCTCAGCGGCTCTCTGTCTGAGATAATGTTGCTTGCTCGTATATAAGGTGTTTTCTGTTTACGTTTTCTCTGTAAGTCAGCTCACTTCCTATCCTACAACCCTTCCTTTTTCGCTTTAAATGATGTGTAGGGTCTGTGTGTATTAATTTGCATTTAATATTTTCTTTCTCTTTAAAAAAATCTCTAGTGGTAAGGCAATGACACTGGTTTTGTAATAGAATGTTTAAAGTGTTCACTAAAAAGTTTGTCACAGAAAAAAGGTCTCCAATTTGTTCTCCAGGCTAATCTGTGCTAATTAACCAAGTTTTAAAAATGTGTTTATGTTAGTTATTTATTCATTTATTCTTCTGGATATGATGATAAAAACAGTCTTCATAAACTTTCATAAGGATGGGTTATTGCTGCTGGCAGGAAAGCAGTCCTGTGAACGAATGGGTAAAAATAATCCACCGAAGCAGAAAAAACCAGCACAGAAAAACCTCCATGCAAATGTGGCTGCCAACTTTTGTCTGGTATATTCTGGAGAATCGCATTTATCACACGTGATTTTACAGAAACAAATAAACAATAAAAAAAACATAATAATGTCATGTGATTTACCAAGGTAGCCCATTAAATGAACCTGATGTGTGGACTGTGGCTCAGCTTGTCATGTGCCTCTCTGATCAGGCCAGCCCATGGCTGCTGCCATCAACAGGAAATGATCCACAAATTGATGCCTTGTTAAACAACAGTGACCCAGAGGTCATTTCACAGTTTGAAGAGATGAAGTTATCTATTCGTAAACTTTACATAGTGTACCATCTATCTAACATTTAAGTGCATGAGAAATGAGAGCACTTTTAGGTGGTCTCATGACTTAAAGGTAGAGGTTTCAGACATAATTCAATAAAATCAATAGGATTTATTCTGGTAGTGAAGTAGGCTGAGAAAAAGCAAGTAAAGATACGGTGTGACTTTGCTTAAGACTTGTTGGGCCTTGTGGTGAATCACTAATCTGTTCATCCAACTGGAAACTCAGCAAAAGCAATCCAGAGGGGAAGAGAGAGGAGAGCTGAAGGGCATAAGTGTCTCTGTTGTTCTCCACCAAGCTGCACACCACATTTGTTCACAGTGATTACTAATCATCTGAGCAAAATGAAGCCATATTACTTCATTATGACTTCATTAATAATAATGATTCCATTTTGTGAAATGCATTTTTTTCCGCTGATTGGGATTTATGTAAAATGATGACCTTTATGTGCAAATAATAACAACTGGGGGATAACGTGGTTGTGCCTTTGGAGCATTTAAATAAGTAAAACCATATTCTGACAGTTACAAGTGGGTCCCTTTCACATAAAGCCTAATGAGAAAAATAGATCTGCAAACTCTGGATTTAGACTGTATGAACAATACTGGATTTTAGGGTTTCGTAATTCACTGTTCAAGTGCATTCTGTTTGACAGCAGCAGGTCTGTGCACAGTTGAATGTCAGACCACTTCAAATCCTCATGCAAATAACCTTTCAACTGACGTTTCTCTGCTCCTCTCTGACAAGGCTTTGCTTGAGGGAGCAGTAAATCCTAAATGTTTGGTAGAAAAACTGTAAAGGAAAAGATATTAAATAACTATGCATCTACGATTACAGAAAATCATAATTTAAGGTTTGTATAATATCATTCTAGATATGCTAATATCATTATATAAGATAATATCAAAAGCGTATATAGAAAATGCAATCAGATATGCTTCTTTTGCATTTAATGTCCATAGTAAAAAAAAAAGATCTAGCCGGAATTTGTTATTCTTTTTTACTTATTGCTTGTTAAAGTACAGTAAAGAAATACACAATAGGCAGTGATGTGCTTCCTTGGAAACAGACTGAAAACTGCCTCACAACCAGAGATATTGGAGCTCAAGGTCCTCCAGCCAATTTTTCAGAGCACGATATGTAGTTCTTGGGAAAAAAATCTTTTTACATTCCTCTCTGATAGCAAATCAAGCTTTTAACCTTGTTAACATTGCGTGCCTGGGAGTTCATGCACCACCTCAAAAAAATCAAGGTCTCTTCCTATCTTTATGTGACACTGGAGACACCAAACCTGACTAATTGCTGGGTGGAGTTGAACTGCTAATTTGCATGTGTTGTGAAGAAGGTGAAATGGGAATGGTTCGAGCTAAAAAGAATGTTACCCAGTGGGGAGAAAGTGCTCACTTTGTTTTGCTCGCTTTACAACGAATTACAACGACTGCATACGAAGTTTCTTTTTATGCGTCCCACTGACTCAGAAATACCCAAACAGCTTCCTGGCCTGCAGTCAGGAAGCTGTTATTTTTTCAAATAATATGGAACATGTCCATCTGCCATGTCTTAGTATTGCAATATTGTATACAATTCCTCTGTTCAAAGTCTATCAGTACACTAAATTGAGGTCGGGTAAGGTGACATTACTGATGTCTGAGACGTGATGCTAATGTTATTCCCTCATTGTAGTCGGTTACTGAGTATCCCAGATGGACACGACAGATTTAGCAGAGCAGAATTGCATCCTAAGTTGTCGTCTCATGTGAGCTTCTCCTTCTCTCTCCTGTTGCTCTGAAGTTGTTTTATAACCTTAAAGCCGACGACGTTTCACACTTGAATGACGTTTGTTTCTCATTGGGTTGGATGCTTCCCTGTTTGTGCGCTTAGCCTCTCATTCAGCATCAACGCTGATGCTTCCAGCTGCCTGACAGAATCTGATAGAATTGGCTAAATTGGCAAAGAACAATTGCGGACGCAGACATTCTCTAAAAACTGCATTCAAAGAAATACTTTGCCTATCGTTTTGTGAAAAATGCAAGCTATTTTTTTGCAGTTTGGCAAAAGAGTCGTCGTTTAAAAACTACACAACCCCTATGACAGCCATTATACCCACACCCTAAATAATGCTGCAGTGAACTGAGACCAAACAGAAGGGGAGGATTGGTAAAAAAAAAAAACCTTTGATCAAAATGCTGAAGATCCAACAGAACAGGCAGCGACGGACATGATCTGACACTTCTGACAGTTGTGAGTTCTGAGGGTATTTAGCCGGCAAACTGGGCCAATCATGGCACAGCTCGGTGCCAACTAGAAAACAGATTAGATCTAATTCAGTCCCAACAGTTCACTTTTGCCACCCTTTGGTATTAATTTGGCTTCAAACACGATCACGTTAACCCCCCCAAACACAGATACACACACACACACACACACACAGGTGCTTACGTTTTTTTGCCGACTGGGGCCGGCTCAGACAGACTCACCGCTCCACCTCGCAGAGACTACGTAAAGCTGGGCTCTGGAGCCTCGAGCAGACTGCTGAAAAGAGCACTGATAAGCGACAGCAGTGCTGGCTGATTAGAGGAGAAAACAAAAACTAAAGGCAATGCCTGGGGAGTTGCCAATGGCAACCTAGCTGGCCATATGCTGCGCAGACTTATTGTGCTGCTGCACTCGCTATTAGTGACACTTTTCAGCAGACAGCAGCACAAGCAGAATAACCCCGCTACGTCATAAATGGGTATACATCTTATAGGGAAGCGATAGGGCCGGAGACGCACCAGTTTTGACTTGAACCTCGTTCCCTTTTTGAGCATTCAGTTAATTGAGAACAAAAATTGCCTGAAGAGAATGGCAGGAATTCAATCAACCTGATTACCGGGGAAAAAAGGGTCATTAAAACTCTTCTCCTAGTTATTGAATTTCTAGTCTAACTGTGAGAAACACATGGCACGAGGCTATCCTCTGCAGTGACATATCAAAGTGCACGTTTTGTGCTTTCATGTACGCATATCCATACAAACAAGGATCAGTTTCCACTGCTTTGAGATCCCATCAAAGCCGCATGAGCCGCTGTTCTCTGCAAGCCAAAGCTCCAATCCATCAAGTTGTGGTGAACCTAACACAAACAAGTCTTTTCTCACCGTATAGCTGCCGTGTTTTTCTTTCCTACTTCATGACTCAGACCTGGTTTGTGCGACATTGTTCCTTTTTTATTGTAGTGCAGAGGGTACTTGGCTGAGGAGCTATTTTATGGAAATGAAATGCGTTTAAAGCGAGGTGTCTTCCGGTGATTTTCAAAAAGCTGTTATTGGAGGGAGGCTTGTTTTTCCATTAATCTGTGGCGATGAGCAAGAGGCCAGGGGGGTGAATCTGCATCAAGGAAATGCCCATATATGCATACTGTGTGTTTTAGGGTGATAAGACTATGGCTGTTTTGTATGGATTACATATATTATTTTAATCTATCCAGCATTAGGATTTCTTTTTCTTTCGAAGCACATACTTCTGAGGTGCTAACAAGCAGTAGCAGGCACCTTGGTATCTTTTCAGCTCACCAGAGATGAAAAGAAAACAGGAATAAGGATGCTCATGCCTTGTCATGACAGGAGACCTGCCCTCATCATCTGTGACGCTGTTTCTGGGGGAGTATTTTCCCACTGATGCTGAGTGTGATAATCTACTACAGCGGGATCGCACATAAACGAAAAGGCCATCACTATCAGCGCCGTGCCAGTCGGCTCCGGCTCGTGTGTGAGTGGGCCGTGTGGAGGCCCGGCTCCCCGTCTCCTCCTCGGACCGGTACCCACCTGTACTTCATACTGGTGTGCCGCCCGATGGCCTCCTTCATGTGGGCATGGCCCTGTGGAGTCTGGCGGGACCCGGGGGCCTCCCTGGTCTTGACGGAGCCTTGAGACATGTAGTTGCCATTGCTCCCCTGTCCACTGCCTCCTCCACCTCCCCCTCCACCGCCTCCTCCACCGCCGCCACCACCGCCTCCTCCACCGCCTCCCCTCTCGCCCCCGCTGCTTCCCCCGGGAGGGGGGGCCGTGCGAAGTCCACACAGCCGGTCCTCGCTGCGACTCTTAAGGTTGTGCTCAGTGCATGCGAAAGACACCTGCATCCTGACTGTGTCTTCTGATGTGTCTTATTTGAAGAGTCAGAGGTGTGTGTGTGTGTGTGTTGTGTGTTGTGTGTGTGTGGGAGGACTCTTTGGAAAGTCACACAAACAACAATGTCTACAAAATACCGGTGCTGCTGGACTCCCGTTCCCTGTTGCGCTGTTGTGGCAACACGCAGAGATGCTCATACACAGGAGCTCAGACAGGGCAGGTCAGAGCTTTGGGATGGGAGCTGGTGGGAGCTGGTGGGAGCAGGTCCAGCCTCTAACACGTCACACACAGAGTTACCGTCTGCTCCGTCTCCCGTCTGGCGGTGCAGAAAACTGGCCAAAAAAAAAAAAAGAGGCTCTGGGAGTTTTCACACTTAGAAGACGCATCGGGGCTGCCCTCCAACAATCATCAGGAGGCTTGTAAGCTCTCAGCGGTCCTCAGACGAATTTGGGGATGTGGCAGTTCTCAGCGTGATAGATGCGTCCCTCCCGTGAGAGCGTCAGTCGGTCGGCCTTTTTTTTTTTCTCCCCACACACACACATACATGCACCGGCTCGCCTTGGCTCAGGTCGGGTGATACAGCACTTGCCAGCTTGCTGATTTTTCTGTCTTCAGTGGAGGTTGGTTGAGTCTGTGTGGAGCTCGGGAGCTCCGGAGCGTTCCGCAGCGGGAGAGACGCAGCCGCAGCTGCGGGCATCCTCAATCCGCGCGTCCAAATGAGGCATGTTTCCTTTTCTGTCGCAAAGCAAGAAAAAACAAAATACCACCCCAAAAAAAAAAAAAAAAAAAAAGGGAAACTCAATTACTGGAATTTACATTCCCGTTTAAGGGGCCAGTCCGAACAGGATGCAGAGGCTTGATATGAAGCGTATTCACCCATCCAAACCCCGCCGATGCATCATCGCCCCGCAGCCTCACGCAGGATCAGAATTGATGCAAGAGAAGGGAAAGCGGCACCTAAAATTCAACAGACAACACGGAGCCGGCTGGCGTTACCTTCAGGGCTGGCAGCGGTTCACGCACCGGCAGCTGTGTAGGTCTCTCCCGTTATTCGACACAATCTCACGGTGCGCGCAGAGGGAAAAAATGCCGGCATACTGGCCCAAAAATCAGCTGCGGCACACATCCGGATCGCTCCGTGTCGCCTCCCGGCACTCCTTCAGCATCGTTTCTGTTAGCCCACAGTAAGCCTTTTCTTTTCTTTTCCCTCTTCCAGAGGCGCCAACATGTTCACGACACACAAGCTGTGTGGGGGTTTGCAAGACAACTCTCTGTGCATATGTGTGTGCGTGTAGGCTATGTGTGTGTGTGCGTGTGTGTGTGTGTGTTGCTCTCACTCTGTTTCTATCTCTCCTCTCTCTGGGGTGTGATCACTACATTTTTCATCACACGGGCGTACACAAATTTGTTCACATTAAGCCATTAATGGAGCCACTGGGTTCTCAATGTGGGACAAAATGTGCTGTTTTTTTCTCCCCTCGTTAATGATCATACTTTCACTTTATTTTTCACTTGAATAGGGAGAGAACCTTCTTCTTCCACATGTGGCTCCCCCTTTCCGTTTGCAGATGATTTTTCTTTCCACCACACCCATAATAAAGACAGCCATCCTGTTTCTTCCATGTATTTGACAAGAACTAAAGTCATTATGAAACCCTCAGATTGTCATTTAGAAGTAAGAGTAGGCGGGCTTTATGACAGCCACATCATAAGATGGCACACTTTGGCATTTCACATTATTCTGCTTGATATCAAATCAAATCAATATCAAATGTGCTTGTTGTCAGTTTTCCCGGCAGTGAAAATAGTCGTTTCTGAGCTATGTTTAAGATGTTCAACTGTGCTGCCGTATCCTTGGCAAAAACTGTAAATCCAGCAGACTTCAGCCTGAGCTCAGTGTTTGCCCTGCTGGGTCTGCTCCCCACAGCGCGCAATCTGCAAAACACCTCAGATGTGCATAAGAACCCACACGCACACATGCACGGCGTCTGTCAATATGCTCTCAGATCAGATGCAGAAGGCTTTTTAAGCAGCCTGTGGTCCCAGAGCAGACTGTGGGGCAATCAGCTGTCAGCAGAATGCAACTTTGATCAGCATCTCTCACAGCTTTGCAGGTGCACAGGCCACCCAGTGTGACTCTCCATGCCTCCAGATGTTAACAAAGTTGTGATACCATTTAAAATGCAAATACGACTAGAATCCAGATATTTGAAAATGCCATGAACCAAACATTCTATTAACAATATAACACAGAAAACAGGGTAGAAGTACATTTTAATATTCTTAATAAATATGGTCAAGCTCAATTGGCAGTGATGTATTAAAAGAAATGGAAACACGAGCAACCAAAGGCTGGGAAAGGCAACATTATGTCACAGACCTCTGTGACATAACGCGGTCTGAAAAGAGCACACTGGAGAAAAAGCATGTGCAACAACTCCATCAGCAAATCAATAATGGTTGAGGAATGGGGGCCTGCCCAATACTGAATGTAAGAGAAACATGATTTTGACATTAAAAACCTTACAAGGGATCAGGAACATTTCTAGACATCCTTTACTGTGGGCATCATCCACAGAAGAAGGTCGAAGCATCTGCAAATAAGAACCCACTGAGCTGGTAAAATGAACATGGAAAATAATCTCTGTGGCTTCCCATTTGCAGCTTTTAAGTCCTTTCAGCTGAAACAGAGAATCCTAGCAACTGTAACTCAATATGATCAGCTTTTTTGTCATCTAGTTTTAGTTCTTGACAAAGCAGTTCATTGGGTTGAAAAGAGCCCAGTCACTAAATACTTTGCAGATTTCAACTGATATGACACGTTTTAAATTCAATATGTTAGATGTACCTAACTTTGACACGCTATTGAAGCAAACGAGCCCTGATCACCTGCCTGCCGAAATTCAAGTATCCCTTTCCCAAAACTGGGATGCTCAGCAGGTTTGTTTCCAGCAAAGCCAGATAAGCAAAGAGAAAGGAGACGTCAGCCTCTGTGTTGTGCTGCTCTGGGAAAAGCAGCGGCTTTTAGAGGGGAGGGGGTTCACTTCAGGTGCATATTCACGCAGATTGACTGAGGCCAACATATCACCTGCTCGGAGGCAGAGGAAATTGCTACCATTACAGATTTTAAGAGCCGGTTCAAGTGCTCGAATCAGCTCTGCTAGAGGCAGATTAAGCAGAATCCCACTCCGGTGAAACAGCATGCTGCCACTGACTGCAGCATTTAGGGAAGTTATCCAGCAGAACGTACATGAAGCATGTTTAGCAAAAGCCCAAGTGTCACATGATGTCCTCCAGGCTGCAGTCCTTTCTCCTCTTTTATGTTTTGCTTTTGAATCTTTGTGGCTGCCTTCTCATCAGAGTGACGCTGCCACCTAGAGGCACTTCACGTGGATCCAAACAAACTGTGTGAAACCAACGCAACATGGGGGACGATTTATTTTCCAAACTGCTATTCATCAGCTGTATGTGCATCATGAGTGACATCTGATGAGCACTCCACACTGAAGCAGTCAGTAGATATGCAGCACCTTCCTGTTTATTATCTAATCCAATGTTATAGCGCTCGTTTTTCCTGCCTTTTTTCAATGTTTTTAGAGATTTTCAGGTTTTACGTGCATAATATCTGATTGGACATTTTAAACAAAAGACACAAGCAATGTTCCAACCAACTGTGTGTCCCTTGCTGCTCACTTCATGCATCATTAACCCTCAACTTCTGCATCGGTGATGTTGACCCTGTATGTTTGGAGGTTGAAATTAGACAATGACTCATGTATGAGCCCTATTAGTGATCCTGAAAAAACAACAACAACAGATATTTCAGCTGCATTTATTCAGTGGCCTTCTGCTTTGAAATCTCATCAAACGCCTGATATTTCTTTCTAGGTCACCAGTGGAGGAAAAAAAAAGAAAAGACTGCAAATATAGTCCTTATTTTTCACCCATGAATGATAATTCCTCTCCCTGCCTTTGGTCACTGTCTTCTTCAAACACTCAACATTAAATGTATGCGCTGAAAACAAATAAAAGTAATATTAATTCTATTATTTGAACGGATCATCTAAAGATAAATAGATTTGTAGAATGTTCCAACATTCTCTTATGGACTCTTTAAGCTTAATTTACGTTTTGTGAACACATTTACCATCTTATCATAAATATGGTAGGTTTTGTGGATTAAATAGAATTTTTCCATTTTGTAGAACTACCATCAGTTTTAATGAAATAAAGACAAATGTTTACCTTCGGTAGTTTTACATTGGAACTTCATCACACGTTGTTCAAATCTTTTTTACCGTTACACTGGGCGGTGGTCTGATGACCCCCGTCCCTCTCACCTGTACGTCATTGCAGGGCGTGCAGCCTCGAACTCAGCCAGGGAGAGGCCACATTCCCTCAGGTACAGCTCCAGCCGGCGCCGCTCCACCATCCGGTGCGCCGCCTCCAGAATCTGAGAGGCCAGAGCCTCCGACTCGTTCCTCTGGTCCGGGGTCTTGCTGCTCCGGGCTCCAGCCTTGGCCACAATGCTCCCCGAGGAGGTGGACGCCTTGGGCTTCTTACTGATGCCATAGAGGTCCTCCACGGAGTATTTCCCCCCCTTCCCGCCTCCGGTGCCGCCACGACTGGCAAACATTTTTATTTCGAATCAGGTACTGGATTGATTACAAATCGCACTTCCTTCCTCCTTAGCTCAGTTTTCCTCACTACTTCTACTTTTGGCAATTGCTGCCTCTGAGCTGGAAAGCAAACAACAAGGCAGTGCTATTTTGATAGAGATTCATGCAGATTTGGAGCATCCAGCCCGTGGATGTCAGACATCAAATTCTTAGAAAACAAGAGCTTAAAGCACTTGTGAAATATCAAAAAGTGTCGGCTCTTCCTTTGAGCAGTTTAAATCCAAAATAAAACAAAGGCAGTCCTGACATGTCAGCAGCGGCTCACAGTCACAAATAACGGCTCCTGCGGATGCGAGGGGCTCCTTTGAGTTAAAAACGCAGATAGGGAACGT